TCCCACAGGAAGTCTCTGAAACAGTCAGTCATTGGCTCTTTGTGCACCCCAGGATCTAAGCCTGTGTACCCTCTGCCCAAGAGGAAGACACATCCTTGTCCCCAAGGTGATAGTCCCATGTGTAACTAGACAACAAACAGGTAGTGCCCACCCCTCGCCAAATGCTCCCCGCTCCCCCAAATGCCCCCCGCTCCTCTAAATGTCCCCCGCTCCCCCAAATGCCCCCCACTCCCCCCAAGTGCTCTCTGCCCCCCCAAATGCTCCCCACTCCTCTCCAAATGCCCCCGCTCCCCCCAAATGCTCCCCAGTCCCCCCGACTGCACCCCACCCTGACTGCACCCCCTCCTTTGTCACTGCACCCCACTCCTCCCTGGATGCACCCACTCACTCCTGACGGCACCCACCTCCTTCCTGATTGCATCCCACCCTCCTAACTGTATCCCACTCCCCCGTGATTGCACCCCACTCTGCTGACTGTACCCCACTCCCGTCACTGCCCCCACGCCGCCTACCTTACAGTACCCCACTCTTGTCAGACTTCACCCTACTCCTCGCAAACTGCACCCCACTCCTCTATGGCTGCACCCCACTCCTCCATCACTGCACCTCATTCTTCCCGAACTGCACCCCACTGCTCTCCTATGCACCCCGACTCTCCCCAGCACTCCCAGCTCACCTGCCTCCAACTGGAGTCTCAGTCTCCGCTCTCCCAAAAGCACCGCGGGGCCTGGAGAGGTCGCTTCCATGGGGCGGGGCCTCCGTGATAAAGGCGAGGCCTCCTAACACCTATACCAATCATAAGCCAAGACGGCGGAGGAAGGGGCTGGAGGCGGAGCCTTGGGCCGACAGCCTGGTAGGCTTAGCTTGGGTAGAGGGGCGGAGCTTCGGATCGAGTGGGCGGGGCTCGTCCGGGAGTGGCATCTCCACGAACCATTCGCGAGCTGGAGGGCGGGGTTACGCTGTAAGCATGGTGCAATGGGTGGGGCCTCTCAGAGGAAGGGCTGTGTGGCATCCACGCTGTGTTTTGTTTTAGCTTATTTTATTGGTGTGTATTCACTGTGCAGTATATTGGGTTTCATTATGACGTTTTCATGCATGAGTATTACATATTGTGATAATATTCACACCCGCCGCCCATCATTTTAGCTCCTACTTTTAGAAAAACGTCCATGTGGATACTGAATCAAAGACTAGGAAATTAAAAAAAAAAAAAAAACGCCCAGCAGGGGCCAGTGTGTAAGCCCCGTGAGAGCCAGGAGCAGGAAGCACACCTGTGGTTTTCGAGGAACAAGTTCGAAACCTAAACAGGAACCCAGGTTAGGGCGGAACTAGTAATAAATTTTCATGTGATTGTTTGCTTATTTATCACTCCTGAATTCCCATGTTTGTCTCTATTTTTCTATTCCCTACATATTAGTTGGGTGTTTTGGTTTTTGAAGTAGTGTGCTAGGGTTATGCCCTTAGCCTTGAACTCACTCTAGCAGAGGCTGACTTTGAACCTCCTATGTGCTGGGGATCATGCCCCAGCCCGTGGGTGGGTCTGCATTCCCCATGAGCTCTCCTGGTGACCATGGAGGCATCTGGGATGTTCTTGAAGGTAGCTGTCTACCCAGGGGAAGACTGAACGGCGGCCTCTCAGTTGGTGCCCTCAGACTCAGTCTGCGCTGACACTCTGATCACCTGAGCCCGCTGGGCTCTCTGGGCTCCTGCCATCCCTGAGGGAACACAGACACACACACACACACACACACACACACACACACACACACACACACACGACATTCCCATAGCTCTCATTTGATGCAGAGTTAGGCTTGACTGCATTTACCTAGCAGTCCAGCATGTGGGAGAATGAGGCAAAAGGATTGCCCCAAGTTTGAGGTCAGGTTGAGCTACATAGTGAGTTTGAAGCCACTGTTTCAAAAACTTAACTAATGCTGGAGAGTTGACTCAGGGGTTAAGAGCACTGGCGGCTCTTCCAGATTGACCCAGAGAGCAGCTCACAACTGCCTGTAACTCCAGTTCCAGAGGATCCAACACCCCTCCTGTAGACAGATGTGCAAAACACCAGCGCACATAAAGTATAAATAGATAGATAGATAAATGACAGACATAGATCCACTCAGAAGGCCAGTGAGACAGCTCTATCGGAAAAGTACACCCTACCAAGCCTGAGGGCCTGGTTCGTGCCCCATGGCTTACAGAATGGAAAGCAAGAGCCCACTGTAAGAAGTTGTCCTATAACTTCCATACACATACCGGAGCATGCATGCATGCATGGTCATGTATGTGCACACACATAAATTTTCTAAAATATAATTCAAAACAAGATGCACATTATTAGCAAGTGACTCTAAGTAGACCCAGAAGACTGGACTGCCCAGCTGCCACCAGATGGAGCCCTCGAGCTGCCTGCCGTGGACACACCCACCTCCCCTATGGTACTAACTCCTCACACTGCCCCAGACTGTTCCATTTCCACGATTTACTTTATTTTGTTTTTATTTTTTCCAAAATTAAACGTATTTTATGTGTGTGGACATTTTGCTTGTGGGATGTGTGTGTGTGTGTGTGTGTGTGTGTGCACGTGTGTGGTGCGTTGGTACAGTGCTGGAGAGGGCCCATAGAGGTCAGAAGAGGGTATCAGATGCTGATGCTCGAGACTGGGTGCTGGCAATGGAACCCCAATCCTCTAGAAAAGCAGACAGTGCTCTTAACCGCCAAGACATTTCTTTTTTTTTTTTTTTTTTTTTTTTTTTTGAGACAGGGTTTCTCTGTATTGTTTTGGAGCCTGTCCTGGAACTCCCTCTGTAGACCAGGCTGTCTACAGCCCTCTCGAACTCACAGTGATCTGCTTGTCTCTGCCTCCCGAGTGCTGGGATTAAAGGCGTGCGCCACCAACGCCCGCCCTCCAAGACATTTCTTCAGAGCCATTTTGCTTTGTTTTATGAACGGTGTCTCACTCTATAGTCCAGGCTGTCTTCAAACTCACAGAGCTCTACCTGTCAGTCTAACTCCCAGTGCTGGGATTAAAGATGTGGCTGCCACCAAGCCTGCCCATTGCTATGATTCTTGTCATCTTTAAAAACCGTTGCAGAGCCGGCGTTGGTGGCGCACGCCTTTAATCCCAGCACTCGGGAGGCAGAGGCAGGCGGATCTCTGTGAGTTCGAGGCCAGCCTGGACTACCAAGCGAGTTCCAGGACAGCCTCCAAAGCCACAGAGAAACCCTGTCTTGAAAAACCAAAAAAAAAAAAAAAAAAACGTTGCAGGGCAGGGGTGGCACATGCCTTTAATCCCAGCTCTCTGGAGTCAAAGACAGACGGATCTCTGAGTTCAAGGCCAGCCTGGTCTACAGAAGGAGTTCCAGGACAGCCAGGACTGATACAGAAACCCTGTATTGAAAAACAAAAACCATTATACCTCTCAAAAAGTCAAAAGCAAAAAATTAGGCTCAGACCAGCACAACAGCAAGGAGTCACTTAGAGCTGAGCTTGAGGACTTGAGTTAGAGTCCCAGGACCCACATGTTGGAAGAACACAGACTCCTATGAGCTGTCCTCTGACCACACACACATGCATACACATGATACATAAGTGTTCAAATAATCACCATGTATGCCATGATGATGCACACCTGTTCTCCTAGTGGTCAGGAAACTGAGGCAGCAGGATTGCTGTGAGTTCCAGGCCAGTTTGAGCAACCGAGTGAGACTGTCTTAAAACAAACTAACATGAACTATAAGCCACCCTCAGAGTCACTGCATAGCTGGAGAGACTGGCCTGCCCCGCCTCCAGCACATAAGTGTCTACGTGCAAGCCCAAGTGTGTGTGTGTGTGTGTGCACGCACACACATATGTGCACATGCTAACGTGCCTTGTCCACCACACCACACCCGTTTATGTAGGCCTGGAGCTGGTACCCAGGGCAAACAACCTATTGAGGCACAGCCAAACCTGGCACATTACCTGAGAGATAAAGGCGTCCTTTTTATTCCTGTTCCGAGCATGGATTGTGTGGCCTCACACCGGGAGGGTGGGCTCATCCTGACCACTCCACATCCTTTTTTCCTTGTTTTTGCTTTCTTTTTCTTTCTTCCTTTTTTGGGGTGTTTCTCTGGTTCTGTGAGGTTTACATTTTTATTTGGGGTTTTGTTTATGTAGATGTGCTTTTGTGAGTGTGAGCAGGCCTGGGTGTGCATGACAGAGGCCATGGAGGGTGTCAGTGTCTCCTTTACTCTCTGCCTATCTCTCTGAGGCCATGGAGGGTGTCAGTGTTTCCTTTACTCTCTGCCTATTTCTCTGAGGCGGGGTCTGTCTCTGAACCTGGGGCTCCTGGTTTCTGTCCTCGGCCAAAAGCAGAGTAACTCTTTTTTCTAGGCTCCATGGCTGGGGTCACCAGGAACCTGACTTCATACAGGGGAGCTGGGAGCCAGCCTTGGATGCTCCGCAAAAACAGCCATCATTCTCAGCCAGCGAGCCACTCCTCAGTCCCTGCTGTTTTTGTCTTCATATCTGCCATTGTGCCTCTGAGGGTTAGGGCAGGAGTAACCTCACTCACTTTCACAAGCTGGCCTGCATGTGCTGCGTGTGCTGCGTGTGACTGTGCCTGGTATCCAGGTCAGGACCAAGTATACAGTGGTACTTATTACACAGGGAATGAATGAGCTCTCCCAATCTGTCCTTTAAATGGCAGAGAGGAGGCTGGGGAAAGGAGGCTGTGGAGGGGTGAGTGGGGAGGGAAGGCTGGGGAGAGAAGGGAAGGGTCTGGGCAGGAAAGGGGCAGAGGGGATGGGCCGGAAGCTGAGCCACAGGAACCTGATCCAGGGAGACAGGCACACACAGTCCAGGCTCGGCGATGATGAGGACCCCAGACTGCTCTCACTGGCCCAGTAAGCTTGTTTGTGTCCCACCCGTGACACCCGTGTCCTCCGAGTCTACCGCCTCTCTCAGCCCTCACCTTCGGCAGGCAGCCCCACAGAAGCCATGCGGCACAGGGCAGGCAGGATCCACTGTTTATTGCAGGAAGACAAGGTGGACAGCAAACGGTACACGGACCCCACGCAGGGCAGGGCTCCCACATGCGGGGGCAGGGGTGGGTCACAGCAAGCGAGGCCTGGCAGGGTCCCCAGCACCAGAGATGCCTGGGCAGGTTGGCCAGCAGCCAGGGTGGGCTCCCCCCTCCCCTGCCACCCAACCCGGTTCTCCCCAGGATGGGCAAGGCCAGGAGAGGCCTGGGGCGGCCCAGAGATTGTGCTATCAGGGTGTGTCCCTGAGAAAGGGCTGTGACCCCTGTCCAGCCAGGGGCTGCTCCCAGGGCTAGGGAGCAGGTAGCAGCCGTGGGGGCCCTGGACTGGCTGGAAGTTGGGGCTCAGCTACGCTCAGACTCAGGCTTCAGGCTCTGTTTCTTCCTGTGCTCAGGGCACAGAGGGACCACACTTAGGTCTGGACCACCTGGTCACCTGACGGCAGCCATTCCTCACACACATCAGCACAACAGAGGATCCAGCTCTCTCCAACCACAGCCTGGTCTGCGCAGCCCCGTGAGGTAATGGCCACATGCACTGAAGCCTCGGTGCTGGCTGGCGTCTGCCACTTGTTCTAGGACAGTAGCTGACTGACACTGTCTGAGTCACCAGCCAGCCTGTCCCAGCCTGGAGCAGGACCCGGTGGCCAGCCTGTCCCAGCCTGGAGCAGGACCCGGTGGCCAGCCTGTCCCAGCCTGGAGCAGGACCCGGTGCTCCTTGGACAGGCTGAACAGACAGGTCACAGATAAATTCTCACCTACTCCCGAAAGCACAGGTCCACCCTACACACCATGGTGCCTAGGTGTCCTCCACAGTTACACACAGGCCACTCTACCCAGCCACCAAATGTACTGTGCTCTCATTAAGGGCCCAGAATGGCACAAACACACCCCATCCCATGACACACACACACCCGTTCACACATACAAAGTCACACGAACACAAGATTCTACAGTCACCCTCATGCGGGTGGGACACAGGCCCAGAAGCCACTCAAGTCTCCTGGACAGTCGCACAGATGTCAGAGAAGCTCTCTGTGACTTTGGGCACACATGGGGGACAGTCTCTGGGTTACACATGATCTGGAACAGGGCTCGGGTTCTTCCAGAGCCCTGGGGCAGCAAGGTACTGGTCCATCGCCCGCACACTTCACTGATGGACTCTCAGCTGGACATCCTGTCCTCAGCACCCCAAACCCCACTTGGGGTCACCATGGAGGCACCACTGTGCCAGCATCTCTGTCTCTGTAGAAGGCGGGCAGCGTCCAGGCTCGGGTCCCCATGCGCTTCCCCTGAGGACAGTCCTGGGCTTGTGCTCTGGTCTCTGCTGTTCCGGGGTGGTGCTTAGGGCTGGCAGGACATTGCTGCGGGGCCCTGTGTTTATTGCCTGGTGGCCTGAGGCCCAGCCCATAGGCCCATCTACCCTGGGGTGCAGGCAGGAGGGGAGAGGGGTGCTCTGGACCCAGGAAAGGACTCAGGTCAGGAGTCATGGGGAAGGGACAGGACTCGGTGAAAGAAAGAAGAAGTGAATGAAGGAGGTCACAGTGACAGAATGTGGGGGACGGAATGTAGGCCTGGCTGGGAACACCCCGGGAGAGGGACAGAGCAAGGCAGCCTTTCTGGTCCTGGCTGGGACCAGCAGTTCCTAGCCAGCTCCCAGTTTTCAGATCCACAGGGATCAACCTCCGATGTACGGTTGTGGAGCACAGATAGCGAGGACATGGACAGTCCAGGGGAGCAGTCAGCAAGGGTGATGGCCATGAGGTGTGACGGGGCTGGGCCAGAGCCCAACCCTACTGTGGGCTGGCAGGGCGGGAAGAGGGAGGAGATATGGAGGAAGGCGCAGAGGAGGGTGGGGAGGAGGGAAGAGGAGGGAAGGGCAAGGGGAAGGAAGCAGAAGGGTAAGACAGAGGGGAGGAGCAGGGGGAGGGAGAGGAGGAAGAGAGAGGAGAACGGGGAGGAGGAAGGAAGGGGGAGGGAGGAAGGGAGGGAGGGCAGGCACGGTACAGTGAGAGGGGAGAGGAGGGAGGCGAGCAGGAGCGCCGAGGCCCTGGCCTGCTCTGGCAGGCTCACAGGAGCGCGCAGGCTCACATGAGCGCGCACTTGCCCTTGATGCGGTCGGTCCTCTTCTGCTTGCTGGAGCGCTTGCCGTCTACGCTGAGGCTGACGCTGCGGCGCGTCTCGAGCGTGAGCAACTCCTGGAACAGCTCCTTCACGTTGTAGTTCATCTTGGCCGAGGTCTCCATGAAGGCGCATTTCCACTCCTGCGCCACGGCCTGTGCCTCGCCGGTGTGCACCTCCCGCTGCGTCTCATCACATTTGTTACCCACCAGCATGATGGGGATGTCCTCCACGCTGCCCTTGATCTGCACGATCAGCTTGTAGATGGGGCTCAGCTCGTCCAGGGACTGCTTGCTGGTCACGGAAAACACCAGGATGAAGGCGTGGCCCTTGGAGATGGACAGACGCTGCATGGCCGGGAACTGGTGGCTGCCCGTCGTGTCTGTGATTTGCAGTGTGCACACGCTTTTGTCACAGCTGATCACCTGCCGGTAGGTGTCCTCTATGGTGGGGATGTAGGTGTCGCGAAACGTTCCCTTCACAAAGCGTAGCACCAGCGAGCTCTTGCCCACACCGCCTGCGCCGAACACGACCACACGGTAGTCATTGCTCTGTTCTGGCATCTTCTCGTAGCCGGCTGGACGCACAGGGCCGGCTGCTAGAACCCCAGACCGACCCTGTTGGAGAAGGGACAGTGAGACTTGTAAGGCCGCCTGGGCTCAGGATAGCTCCCGTCCCGGCTGTCATCCCACCTAAGTGTCTCCCAGGTGGCCCGGCTTCCTGCTGCCCCGGCTGACTTAGCAGTTGAGCTCTGCAGATGGGCTCCCGGCCAACCTCTCAGCCTGTTTCTCCCCGACAAAAGTAGGGCCCAGTTCCCCAGGGGATTCGTAGCTGGCAATGGTGCTGATGAGGCCAGGAGACGGAGATGCACAGATCAGCACTCAGCCCAGGCTCAGGCAGGGTCCCCCCAGGCCTCTCTCCACACCAGTGCAAGCCCCTCACACTCTGAGCTCGCCTTCTTCCTGCCCCATCCTTATGTGTGAAAGACCCTGTCTCAAAAAAAAAAATGAAGGGGGTGGGGTGCTGGAGAGAGATAGTTCACACATTAGATCACCAGCTGCTTCAGCTGAGGACCCAGGTTCAGTTCCCAGCACCCACATGGTGGTTCACAACTGCCTGTGACTACAGTTCTGGAGACCAGACTCCCCCTTCTGGCCTCTGTGGGTACTACATACACATGATACACTCCTGGGGAACCAATGCCCCCTTCTGGCCTCTATGGGTACTGCACAGATGTGGCGCACAGACACACATACACAGAAGGAAAAATAAAGTGAAAAGAATCCCATTGTGAGCCGAGGTGGTGGCACATGCCTTTAGTCCCAGCACTCCAGAGGCAGAGGCAGGTGATCTCTGTGGGTTCGAGTTCAGCCTGGCCTACAAAGTGAGTTCCAGGATAGGCTCCAAAGCTACACAGAGAAACCCTGTCTCAAAAAAAAAAAAAAATCACATTGTGAAAATCAGGTGTGGTAATACACACCTGTAATACCAGAGCTTGAGAGGGTGAGGCAGGGGGATAGCAAATTCTGGGCCACTGTGGGCTACAGACTGAGACTCTGTCAAAAAAAATACTAAGGCCATTGTGGTGGTGTGCCCCTTTAGACCTTGGTCTCCAGAGGAGAGACAGCTGATCTGTGAGTTCAAGGCCAGCCAGGCCTACAAAGAGAAATCCTGTCTTGAAAAAAAAAAAAAACCCAAACATCAAATCCAAAACACTACCATCACCACCAACCAAAAAGCCCAAAAGCACATTGAGTTCTCCACATTGAAGCACTGGCTTCAGGCCCTGGAGACTGGCCACATAAAACAGTTCCTCTGACACTGTGGACACCCAGGAATCAGATGCATAAATCCTGACTCCGAATCCCTGGAAGCAGCTCCTGGGACACAGGACTCACAGGGTGAGTGGAGCAACCCTCAGTGGGACTTCCCGCTGCCTCGGCTCCCTGCTCAGGCCGCGTGCGCCCGGGGATGCCTTGGGGTTTCTCTCCTGTCTGTGCTCAGAGGGGACACACAGCGTGGGGACTGGCGGTGGGGAAGAGGTGTGTGGAGAGGAGAGTGTGAGGCCTGTCCACACCATTGCTGCCCTCAAGAGTCCTCCTTTCCCTCGCAAGTTATTCTCCTCGGTGTGTGTGCATGTGGGGGAGGGGCGGGGAACAGCTCCACATTCTGTCACAGGGAGAGCGACACCAAAAAAGTACAGCGTCCTGGCATTCAGTTTTCTCTTCTGTGAGACGGGAGCCTACCCAGGCATGGCCCTTGGGGACAGGGGCCCGGGAATATGGTTAGGGATCAGAATAAAAGGAAAATACATCTGGATGACCCTGGTGGCACACCTGGAAAACTTTTCAGAGCTGGAGATGAACCAGAAGTGTACCCGGATCATACACGGGGGAGCTTCTTAGCCTGGGGAGGAGCTGGGGAGCTGGTACAGGGCTTCCTCCAGCCCAGTAACCATTTCTCTTGCTGTGCAGTGGACTCCCTGTGACGCCGTCCCCACTGGCCTGAGGGGGTGTAAGGTGACAAATGGAGGTGGGGTACCCACCCCTCAGTGCAGCCCCTTCCTGGTGGCGAGCATCGATGGTGCCAGCGCCCGGTAGGGATACCCACCAGAGGGGTGCTGATGTCTGGACTCCCCGACCAGGAGGGTCCTCGTGGGGGCTGAGCTTGTAGTGGAGAGAGCTTCGCTCAAGGTCATGCCATGTAGGAGGTGGCATGTCTCAGAGGGACTTCACGCTGGCCCTGCTCAGCTGCTGTGCCCTGGGAGCTCTGAGGTGCTCAGCCACCCTGAGTCACCCCAGCCCTGGGCCAGCCTGGCCAAAACCCCCAGTCCACAGGTCAGCACAGAGCTGGGCCCTGCGACCCTGAAGCCACCTCGGGTGCAAGAAGCCTTGGTCAGGGGAGGGTCTGGGGGTGGGGATGCTGACTAATGAGGGTGGCTGACCTAGGGGCTTCAGACTGCTGAAGGGGAGTGATGGAGGACAGGCAGTTTTAGGGACTTGAGGGAGGGGGTCTACCTGAGAGTCAGGAGGAGGCTAAGCAGAGAGGAGTCCTGAAAGGGGTTGGCCGCGAGGGTGCCGGTCTCTGTGGGTAGCGGCGAGGGACCGGGCCTGAGTGGGCAGTTTGCAGAGGGCACGGATGAGGGGACAAGGCCGGAAGGGGTCCAGGGTGATGCTTTGCTGATGCTCTGCGTGGCCAGGCAGGGGTGGGGCGACCAGGAGCTGTCCATGGTGGCCGCTGGATGCTCGGGGATGCGAGGTAGCCAGGAGGGTGGGGTCGGAACAAAGGGATCATGGTGGCCTGGGGACCCCTCCCCACCCTCAGTGGCCGCGGCAGCCCCACCGCCTACCTGGGCCGCTGTGGTCCCCGAAGCTGCGCTGCTATCCGCGCCGCCGCAGTCCTGATGTCCCCGCCCCAGCCGCGCTCCGCCCCGCCCGCCCCGCCCGCCAGGACCCGGGCCCGGGCCGAAGCAACCCAAGGTCACCGCCAAGCCCGCCCTGGGTGTCCATCAGCCGCCGGGGGCATGCCGAGCGCTGGGCATCCCGACATCCACACCCACCCGCACCACGTGGCCACCTGCATCCCAGGGGACGCGGATGGGTGACAGGACCCGCTGTGTGCGGTCCTGGAGTCACGGTGACGATGGTCCTGGTCACCCTGAACTGAAAAAAAAAAAAAAAGGGAGAACTGGGCATGGGGGAGTTGCATGGTCAGCGAATGGCAGAGGAAGGTGATGGAGAGGGTGTGAGCTGCGTACACAGATCTCGACGGAAAAATATGTCAACCAGACAGGGGAGGCTGAGACAGGGGGATGTCTGTGAGTTTAAAGCCATTCTGAGCTACAGAATAGAGACCCCTTTGGGGGAAGGAAGGAAAGGGAAGAGAGAGGGAGGGAGGGAGAAGGAGGAGGGGGAGGGAGCAAACTCCGTTATTGCGCTTATAACTCAGGCTAGAGCCATATCTTGCCAGCTTGCTTGGTAAGCCCTGGGATCCGGTCCCAGCATCCTGGAGGCCAGCGCGTCATCCAGCACAGGAGGCCCAGGAATCCAAAGTCAGCCTCAGTTACATATTTTCTGGAAAATGTGAGACCCTGCTTCAGACAAAGAGAAGAAAAGAGAACAAGAGGAAACCCCATTGTTCAGGGTAGAGTGTTTGCACACCACACAGAGGTTCCAGCCACATGCTGTAAGGAACACGTAACAGAACTTTGTACGATTAAAGACTTGGGCCAGCTGGGCGTTGGTGGCGCACGCCTTTAATCCCAAAACTCGGGAGGCAGAGGCAGGCGGATCTCTGTGAGTTCAAGGCCAGCCTGGTCTACACAGCGAGTCCAGGACAGCCTCCAAAGCCACAGAGAAACCCTGCCTCAAAAAACAAAACAAAACCAAAAAAAAAAATCTTGGGCCAAGGAGAGGGCTCAGCCAGAGCTTGCTGCCAAGGCTGACTGAGTTGGGTCTCTGGGACCCACTTGGTGGAAGGGCAACTCCCAAAATTGTTCTCTGACATACACAAACACTGAGAAATTGATTAAAAATGTAATTTAAAATTTATTTTAAAACCTGGGTGCTGGTGACACACACCTTTAATCCCAGCACTCTAGGTAGGTGATTCTCTGCAAGTTCAAGACCAGTCTGGGCTACAAAGCTACACAGAGAAACTCCATCTGAGAAAAAATAGTATTTTACAACCTGGAGATGGTAACTTTTAATCCCAGCACTCAGGAGCAGTGGCAATTGGATCTTTATGAGCCTCAGGCCAGCCTGGTCTACAGAGAAACCCTGTCTCAAAAAAACAAAAAAACAAAAAAACAAACAAACAAAAAAAAAACCAGAGGCAGGCGGATCTCTGTGAGTTCGAGGCCAGCCTGGTCTACAAAGTGAGTTCCAGGACAGCCTCCAAAGCTACAGAGAAACCCTGTCTCGAAAAACCAAAACCAAACAAACAAACAAAAAAAAACCTGTCTCGAAAAACCAAGAATAAAAGTTTTGTATAAATTTCTGTCTCTGTTTCCTAGAACCTGACCAGCCCTAACCCATGACCTTGATGTGTTTGAGGGAACGCCCCACCCCCAGCCCTAATAACTTCCACCACACGGTGATGGCTATTTTGGGGGTATTTGCTTGAATTTTTTACTGCTCCATTGTCTTCTGTAACCTGCTTTGAAACTACTCATGATTTTAATCCCTAAAAGGCATTAAGACAGGCTGGAGAGACGGCTCAGAGGTTAAGAGCACTGGCTGGTCTTTCAGAGATCCTGAGTTCAATTCCCAGCAACCACATGGCGGCTCACAACCATGTGTAACTGTAGTTCCAGGGGATCGGACGTCCTCACACAGACACACACGCAGGCAAAACACCAATGCACATAAATAAATAAATAAATAAATAAATAAATAAATAAATATTGAAAAAGGGGGGCACTTAAGAAATAGACTTGGGTCTGCTCTCTCTGACCGACATAGGAGACAGTCACTGGACAGCTCTCCAGTGCACCCCCGTAGAAATCAAGCTTGTGTTTAAAACAACAAAAATGTTTTTGTTTGTTTGTGACAGGGTCTTGCTCTGTAGATCAGGCTGGCCGGGAACTCACAGAGATCTGCCTGCCTCTGCGTCCTGTCGCTAGGATTAACGTTGTGTGCCACAGGGCCACTTAGCTGAGCTTAAGGCTGTCCTCTGCTCTGCCTCACCCCGCCCACACCCATCCAGGGCTCCCCTCCTCCCTGGATTCCAACATGGCTCCTTCTTCCTGGGTCACAGCCCAGTGTCCTGCTTGGTGTTCAAGGATCTCCGTGGCCCACTTCTTCTCCTATTGAACCCCAACCATTCTGTGCTGCCTGCGGCTGAAGAGCTCCCCTCCTTCCTACCTGAGGGTGTCCCTCAGACAGTACCTCAGTCCTCCTACCATCCAGTGGGAAGTGAGAGCTCTGTTCGGATGACCCCTACCCACAGAAACACCCCCAGGCGGTTTTACCATCACCCCTCCGAGTAGCTGGGAACAAACCCATGGAGTGGCCCTTTCTCGGGTGCTGAGCATCAGGCGGTGTGGGCGGGTGGCAGCTTGGGGTTGTAGCCTAGGTTTCTCTGTCTGTGACAGCTGCCTGGGTTCCCTGAGGTACTGCCCAGTGGGCTGTAAGCCCAGCTCTGGCGGGCTCCCTGGCTCCTTCAGGCACCAGCCCCGACTGACTCACGCGGAGGAGCTGTCCACATACTGATGCTATTTATAGATGTCAGGCCAGGCACCACTGGAGTCGGGTTCAGTCCCTGTCTCCTTTCACAGCAGCGCCTCTGTGTGGCTGCTTGGGGCATGGGGGGCACTGCACTCTGCTCCACCTTGCTGAGCTGTGCGGAGCACATATGTGGGCCCCAGAACTCAGGAGCCCCAGAGCCTGGCGAGCCCGCACTGCCATCTGGAGTTCTGGTCTGCCTGCCACTGCACACCCACCAGCTCTTTGGAAAGCCCTGCTCTGCCCCCAGCGGCGGCAGAGAGTTCAGAAGGGGCCTGGGGAAATGGCTCAGCCATCAAGTGTTTGCAAACACAGGACCTGAGCCCATAGCAAAGCTAGCAGGGCAGCTCGGTCCTGCTATGGCAACACCAGGGAGGCTGAAACGGAGGATCCCTGTGCTGTGCTGACCGGGTGGTCTAGATAAATTTGCCACTGCCACTTCCAATCTCTACCTTACTGACACTGTCTCAACAATCAAGGTAAGGATGGGGGCTACTCAGTAGTTACAGCACCAGCTGTTCTCCCAGAGGACCTGGGTTGGGTTCTTAGCACTCACATGGCGGCTGACAACCATCTGTGACTCCAGCTTCAGGGACCTGGACGCCCCCTTCAGGATGCTGCAGGAACTGCACACCACACACACACACCACACACACACACACACACCACACACACACACACACACCACACACACACCACACACACACCACACACACACACACACACCACACACACACCACACACACACACACACACACACCACACACACACACACACACCACACACACACACACCAGTCATACAACAGATACATGACTAGCATGTTGGAGCCATTATTCTGTTGTTGTTTGTTTTCACCATGCAGTCCTGAGCAGCCTGGACTCTATGGAGACCAGAGATGATGTTGTCTCCTGGTTTCCTTGGGAACTAGGAACACATGGTACACAGACATACATAGATTCAAAACATCCATCCACAAAATAAAATGAAGTAGTTTAAATCTTTTGTTTATTTATTTTGAGACAGTGCTTACTTTGTAACCCAGGGTGGCCTGGAAGTCACAGATATCCCCAATCTCTGCCTCCAGTGTGCTGGGATTAAAGTCATGGATATCATGTCCAGCTTAAAAACTATTTTATTGCCGGGCGTTGGTGGTGCATGCCTTTAATCCCAGCACTTGGGAGGCAGAGGCAGGCGGATCTCTGTTGAGTTCCAGGCCAGCCTGGTCTACAAGAGCTAGTTCCAGGACAGCCTCCAAAGCCACAGAGAAACCCTGTCTCAAAAAAACCAAAAAAAAAAAAACTATTTTATATTATGTTGGGTGGTGGTAGTGGTGGTGGCGCATGCCTTTAATCCCAGCTGGGACTAAAGGCATGCACCACCACCACCCTGCCTGACTTTTCTTTCTTCAGCAGAGACACTGCCTGATGCTACTGATGTGTTCATGTCATTTCTCAGTAGAGTGACAGCTTCCTTAGTTCATGGGGGGGGGGAGTTGACGACTCACAGATGTTACCCCTCCCCTGGGGGACTCAGTTCAACATTGAGGACACACGCTGGTGGCCTATGCCTTTAATCCCAACACTCCAGAGGCAGAGGCAGGTAGATCTCTGTGAGTTCGGGGCCAGCCTGGTCTACAGAGCGAGTTCCAGGACAGCCTCCAAAACAATACAGAGAAATCCTGTCTGGGGGGGGGGACAAAAAAAACATCGAGGACACACATTATTGTTCCAAGTCAGGGAGCTCTTGGCTCAGAGCAGGTGGAGTCCAGAGACACCCAGGAGACCAGGGATGTCCCACAGAGAAAGCCCCAGTCCCATGGGGGAACCCCAGGCTGAGGGGCTCCCTTGCGCGGGTGGGATGCAGGAGAAAGACCATCCTGGCCCCTCCTCGGGGTCTCCAGGCAGGGCGCCAGGAGCTGGCTGTGCCCTATGCTGCCTGCCTGCACTAATAACTTCAGTTAGAGGAACAAGCTAACAAAGGCTGACACGTTGTTACAGATCAGCGGTGAAGCTGGGCCACCCACCCGGCCTCTCTCCTCCCAGCCTGCTGTGTCCTGTGTGTGTCCTCACAGGAAGCAGCTTTGGGGGCAGACTAGGCCCTGCAGCACCCCTGGCCTCACCCTCCTCCATGCCCATTCATGACAGCAACACAGCACTCAGCATGGCGCTGGGGGCTGGGAGCATGGACTCACCTAAACTGGAACCCTCAATAAGAGACACGCAGCTCACTAGTCCCAGGCAAGGCCCCTCATGGCTGCTGTGGCCAGCAGCTGGCCATGGGCAGTGACACCTGTCCAGTCATATCTGAATGGTCAGAGGGACCACACCAGCGAGGGGCCGGGAGAAGACTTGGTGTTACTGCCCTGTGCTGCCAGGCAGGATACCCACCCTGCCTCTCCGCATCCCAGTCTGGGATGTGACTGCTTTCTTGTCAAGGGAGGGAGAAGCTGCTGACATCAGACCGTGGCCTGGCTTGGACCTAGACCACAGCAAGGGGAGCCTGAAGGCCTTCGGTGGCAGGGCCAGGTAGGGTCCGAGGGTCACTGTACACCTGGCCAGGCCCACGCTAAGTTTCAAGGGCCGATTGGGTGGTGAGCGAAAGGGAGCCAGGCAGGCTTGAGGAGTGTTGGCAGGTGTCTCCTGGTCCAGAGTCCCTAAGCCGCTGTGCAGATGGCCCCCCCACCCCAGAAGGTGCCATCCGGACCTGAAGGCCTGTGAGGAGGCAGCAGGTCTCACCATTGCTCGTGAGCTGGCACTTGCGTGATCTCAGAGACTCAGGGGATAGATGGGGAGGGACCAGGTCCACAGTGACAGGCTTGTTGGTGTCCCCAGGGCAGCTGGTGCTAGGAAGGGGGGGCGCTTCATGCAGTCTTCAGGGGTGCAGACTCCCTGCTGGCATGACCAGACAGGGACCCAGCCCTTTCTACCATGGCCTGGTCTTGTCACCTGAGCCTAGACCTGCCGGGTCGGAGTTAGGCTCCACGGGCTCTGGAAAGACCCTTCAGAAAGGGGCAGCCATAGCTCAGCCCTCACTGGGGCCACGGGGTCCCACATGTCCCAATGTCTGTAAGTGCCGTGTAAGCCCTGCTTATGCAGCTCTGAGGTGGCCCAGGCGCTGGGGTTCTGGGGACACTGCCCAATGCCTGGCTGTCCCCAGGGCCCTGTCTCTTTGTACCTTGTATCTTTTGAGAAGGAGCTGGGTAGGGGGCCACCTTGGGTGGGTCACTTTGGTCAACCTGGCCATGGTGACAGGGGAACTAGGTACAAGCCTGACTCTAGCCAGTTCCGGGATGTGTTGACTCCTGGTAGACAGAACCAAAGTCAAGGAAGGGGGTAGGTCGTGCCAGCTGTATGTCCCCAGAGGAAGAATCCTCACTCGGGCTGCCCCAGGATGCCACCATTGCCACAGCAACAGGCACCATGGTTGCTAGCCTGTACCCTGGGAATCTCCTGTCAGGATGTTGCCCTCACCTTGAGTCCTCCGGAGATCCCAGTGGTGAATACACAACCCAGAAGTGACCACCAAGCAAGCCACTGCCCACTCCTCACCCTCTTAGGAGACCACAACGCTTGGCCCTGGAGTCTTGACCCCCATCCCCCCTGCAGAGGAGGAGGAGGAGGAGGAGGCGGAGGCACTGACACTCTGATGATGCTACAGAGCAAGGGAACAGGAGGGGGTTCCCGAGGGCCAGGAACACACCTGGCCCGTCCCCAGGGAAGGACGGCCAAGTGGGCTGCGCCTCTCCCAAACTGTCAGGACATGCTGGAGCAACCGCTAAAACTTGGGGGGATGATGGGGGCAGGGCCTTGGCTACACGAAGAACATAGAGGGGACATGCAGGACTGCAGTGGCTTCCCACAAACCAGAGCCCACCTCACCCTCCTCAGAGGCCCCCTCCCCCTCCTCACCCTCCACAGAGCCCACCTCCCCCTCCTCCCCCTCCCCCTCCCCCTCCACAGAGCCCACCTCACCCTCCTCACCCTCACCCTCCTCACCCTCCTCACCCTCACCCTCCTCACCCTCACCCTCACCCTCCACAGAGCCCACCTCACGATCCATCCTCGGTGGCTGAGCCGTGTCAGCAGGGACAGGAGGGGTGACGGATATGAGGTCACATGGCCACACAGCTTTGGTAAATAACTTTAAGACATTGTTTTAAAGTGGTATCAGTGATGCCAGGGGCGGTGGAGGGCGAGAGACCTGGCGCATGGCGCCGTGGCCCTGGAGCGGGGCTGGTGAGGCACGGGGCCCGTGTCCTGCGGCGACCCACGGCTCGGGTGGGCAATAGGGTGATGACGGCGGGCGAGCGGCCCTCACCACTTGAGGAAGACCATGCCAGCCAGGACGGCGTAGCCCAGCACCAGGAACAGCACCTTGAGCAGCTGTTCGCTCCTCTCCTCCAGCTCCTTGGCCAGGATCTCCAGGAAGGTGACGAACAGAAAGGTGCCGCCCGCCAGGCCCTGCAGCAGCGCCGACGCCACGCTGCTGGCTACGCTCCGGGCGCTCTCGATGCCCAGGCCCAGCCCGATGCCCACTGGGATCATGGCACTCACGGTCACTGCCAGCTTGACCGCGTCCCTCAGGGGCACCGCGCTGCGAGCCATGCTGATGCCCAGGGCCACAGCCACCAGCGTCTCGTGGATGGCCACGCCTACAAACAGGCTGACCACGCGCTCGCCCTCCTCCTGCAGCCCCAGGGCCAGGCCCTCGAACACCGAGTGCGCAGACAGCGCGAAGACCAGGCTGAGCAGCCGCAGCGGGCCTGGCCGTCCCAGCTCTCGCAGCCGCAGCCCCGCGCCGTGCGTGTGCCCCGTGGGCTCGGGGTAGAGCCCGCGGCCGCGCCCACCCGCGCCCACGAACGGGCTCTCGTACTCCGAATCGCTGCCCGCGTCTGAGCCCGCGTTGAAGGTCTCCAGGTCAATGAAGGGCGGCCGCTCCCGGCGGAAGGTCAGCACCAGCTGCTCCACGAACACGGTGAGGAAGAAGCCCACCATCATGAGCGTCTCGGCCAGCGGGTAGTCCGTACTGATGTGGCCCAGGCTTAGCACCTGCTGCAGCTGCAGGGACAGGGCCAGGACAGCTGCAGGCCTCCCACCTGAGCAGGCCCTCGGGAGGCTGAGGCAGGAGGATTGCAAGTTCTAGGGCAGCCTGGGCTACACAGAGACTATGTGGCAGGCAACAAAAAGACTCAGCTCAGGTCACACCAAGGTTGAAGCTGAGAGGCTCAACTATGCCTCGCTCCGGTTCCGTCCCCAGCACTGCCCAAAACAGTGAGATGACCTCGGGGCCAAGGCGCTTGCTGACACCCGGAGCTGGAGTCACAGTGGGAGGCCACTGACTGCAGAGCACCTCTGACATCCACATGCACTGGCACACACCCAGTGATATAAAATAAAACTACCCAGAAACGCCATGCCAGGCACCCTCTGGCTGCCCCCAGCGATGGATCCAGCTGGCCGTGAGAGGCCTGCTCCTAAGGAGTCCTGGAGCCCAGCCCTGCCCCGGTGAGCCCTCAGGTGGGCAGGGAAGGGAGTGGCCTGGGGGACCGGAGGGAGGTGAAGACTGGGCGTGACTGGCTATGGAGGACACTGAGGATGGCATCCTGTACTCAACGGCATGAGCACCACAAATAAGGGAGACTGCCGGGGGCACGAGCGAGGCCCCGTCCCCACAGCCACACACTTCCCTGGCGGCGATGCCTGGGCCTTGCAGAGCGGCCCATGGGTAGCAAGCCCAGCTCCCTCTTGGAGGAAGACGACGCCCCAGCCCCGGTCTTCCTGAGCTCCCTGCAGCCTTGACACAGAGACTTCTGGGGAGCCCCGAGTCCCTGGTGGCCACAGGCCCGTCTGTTGTGACATCCTTCATGCCGCTGAGTTGGCCCTCAGTGACCCTCAGTAACTGACACAGTGCCACCTACTCACGACCCACACGGCCAGCAGGGGTCCCGATCTCCTGTGTCCCTGAAGCAGAGGACCTCAAGCTCTGCCCAGGCGCCTGCCATGAGGAGACACATCAATGCTGTGTCAAGATGCTATCTGCAGCCGGGCAGAGATGGCGCATGCCTTTAATCCCAGCACTCGGGAGGCAGAGGCAGGCGGATGTCTGTGAGTTCCAGACCAGCCTGGTCTACAGAGTGAGGTCCACAAAACAATACAGAGAAACCCTGCCTCAAAAAAACAAACAAAAAAAAATGCTATCTGTTAGGATTAGCTATGCAGCAGCAAGAACTCATGGGTACAGGCAAAGAGGAACGTATGCGCGTGGCCTGTACGCTTCGGGGTAGGTGACTGCTGAGTGTGACACCCACCAACCACTGGGGTTGCCTGCCTGTCTTCCCTGGACTCTGGCAGTATGGCAAACAAGTAGCTGACATGGGGACACACAGTCATCTGCTCCCTCCTTCTGTCACCCTCACACGTCCATGCTGGAGTCCATCGAGGCCGGGAGCCACTCAGTGGGGAAAGGGCTCTGCCCACCAGCCTGAAACCCCCTAGAAACCTGGGTATGGTAACCATGCCTGCGGGCAGAGGCGGGGTCTCTGGCACTCACCGGACAGCCTCTTTGGCCACACCAGGGAGCTCCAAGTTCAGAGAAACCCTGTCTCAAAAAACTGAGACGGCGAGCCACTGAGGACAACACCCGACATGGTCCTCTGGCCACCAGACGCATGCGCGTGAGAGGTACACGTGCGCATGCGCACCCGAGGCCGCCCCACCTGCCATCCCTGCAGCCTCACCTTGTCTCTCACTGCGGGCAGCAGCGCGTTGAAACAAGTAGCCAGGAAGACACCGCCCCCAAAAGTGTTGCAGAGGGAGAGCACCTTCTTGGAGCGGTGCGCCTTCTCGAAGTCGGCTTCAATGACCTTCACAGGCAGCAGCGAGCCCAGCAGCATGAGGAAGAACATGCCCGCCATGCAGAGGACCTTGGCTACCAGGAGCTTCGTCATGCTGGCCACCCGGTCACACGGTCACCGCAGGGCCACACCACGCATGGAGTCACACACCAGAGCTGCGGGGCTACCGGCCCCTACTGCAGGGTTTGGGGCTCATGGCTCTGCCTGGCAGCTGTGAGGACAGGGGCGGCCGTGTTAGCCACGAGGTCACTGACTCGTCGGCCATACTGACTCACACACACGAACGCATGCGTTTCCATAACTGCGGTGAGGACAGAGGGCTGGAATGTAGACCAAGCAGTGACACGCTTGTGCTGAATGTAAAGTAGCCAGCCTTGACAAACACGTGAGCACCAGGCGCATGCGTCCCTGCCTCCAAACCCAAGGTGGCCAGTACCTGCGGAGGACAACACTCACACACACACACTCATAGCTCACTCACACACTCACTCATACTCTCACACACACTCACACACACAGAGGCAGGGAACACAGAAACAATACTATTTAGCCTCTGCCCCCCTGCTGTCAAGTACTTGGTAACCACTTGAGCTGAGTGGCTCCCGTGTCATGCACAGAACACAGAACGCTCCCATCGGTGGCAGGACTCTCTCGGGTGCAGCTGCCCTGACAGGGCCTCTCAGCCCATCACCCAAGGTTAGACTTTATATAACAGTGTCTCCCTCAGCTCACCTCACACCAGCTTGCCTGAGTCTTGATTGCACAGACTGTTCTTTCTGCCTGGAGAACACCCCCAGCCCCGCAGACCCGGGACCCTCAAACACGTCTTTGCATTCTGGAACTTGGAACCGCGTGCTCTAGATAACCAACCCATGCTCCCAACTGGATCCATGGTACCCACCTTAAGGCCTGGTGCAGAGCTGGTGACAGCTGGCTGAGAGGATGTGGTGGCCAAATGTGACTCTGTAGGTTTCTCCCTGCCTCATAAAACATCAGCATCATTAGGAGCAGTGCTGCCTCCTTCTGGCTGCTGACCACATCCCCCAGCTCTCCCTCAGCTGTCAGTCTTCCCAGTCCGTGTCACTCACTGGAGCGCGTGCATGCACGCGCGCACACACACACACACACCCGCGCGCACACACATGCAGGCACACACACGCACGTGCACACACACATGCAGGCACACACACGCACACATACACACACACGCGCGCACACACATGCAGGCACACACACATACACACACGCGCGCACACACACATGCAGGCACACACGCGCACGTGCACACACACGCACGCGCACGCGCACACACATGCAGGCACACACACGCACGCACGCACACACACATGCAGGCACACACACATGCAGGCGCACACACACACGCACGCACACACGCACACACACGCAGGCACACACATGCAGGCACACACACATGCACGCACGCACACACATGCAGGCACACACACACATGCAGGCACACACACACATGCAGGCACACACACACATGCAGGCACACACACATGCACGCACGCACACACATGCAGGCACACACACACATGCAGGCACACACACACATGCAGGCACACACACACATGCAGGCACACACACACATGCAGGCACACACACACATGCAGGCACACACACGCACACATACACACACACGCGCGCACACACATGCAGGCACACACACATACACACACGCGCGCACACACACATGCAGGCACACACGCGCACGTGCACACACACGCACGCGCACGCGCACACACATGCAGGCACACACACATGCACGCACACACACACATGCAGGCACACACACACATGCAGGCACGCACACACATGCAGGCACACACACACATGCAGGCACACACACATGCACGCACGCACACACATGCAGGCACACACACACATGCAGGCACACACACACATGCAGGCACACACACACATGCAGGCACACACACACATGCAGGCACACACACACATGCAGGCACACACACACATGCAGGCACACACACACATGCAGGCACACACACACATGCAGGCACACACACACACATGCAGGCACACACACACACACACCCCGTGCTGTCAGGCCTTCCCAGTCGTTGTCCCCCCTCCCGCTGCTGCTGACGGAGCCTTTCCAGGTCCCCCTGGCCCAGCTCCCCCTTCTACTGCACCGGAATTGTCCCAGCACTTTGCAGGTGGGGATGGATCACCATGACCCAGACAGGAGCTCTGGATTCAAGTCGGAGATCCTGGGGAGTTGCCTAAATGGTTAGAGTACCAGCTGCTCTGGCAGAGTACCTGGGTTCGGTTCCCAGCACCCACACGATGGACCACAACCATCTGTTATTCAGCTCTGGGGAATTATCACCCTCTTCTGGCCTCAGTGGGCACAAGGCTCATATGTGAGGCACAGACATGAATACAGGCAACACACACACACACACACATTTTTAATTAAAAATAACTGGAGAAGCCGGGCGTTGGTGGCGCACGCCTTTAATCCCAGCACTCGGAAGGCAGAGGCAGGCGGATCTCTGTGAGTTCGAGACCAGCCTGGACTACCAAGCGAGTTCCAGGACAGCCTCCAAAGCCACAGAGAAACCCTGTCTCGAAAAAACAAACAAACAAACAAACAAAAAACTGGAGAACAATCAAGGAAGGCAATGACATTAATGTCTGGACTCCACACATATGCACACATGAAACAATCAATTAAAAACTATGCTGGGAGCCGGGCGTTGGTGATGCATGCCTTTAACCCCAGCACTTGGGAGGCAGAGGCAGGCGGATCTCTGTGAGTTCGAGGCCAGCCTGGTCTACAGACAGAGTTCCAGGACAGCCTCCACAGCCACAGAGCCACCCCGTCTTGAAAAGACAAAGCAAAACAAGATGTGTAGGACTGGCGGTGTGCACATGTGATCTCGAGATCTTGTACATGGGGCAATGAGGCAGGACAATGGTCACACATCTGAGGTCAGTCTGGACAACTCAGAAAGACTATCTCAAAATAATGTAATAAAACAAAAACAAAGAAAATCCGTCAAAAATGACATAAAATGATGAAACAAAGCTCAAAGGGTAACAGTGCTGCCACCAAGCCTGAGGACCCAGGACGATCTGAGACCACAAGGAAGAAAGAGAATGGACCCCACAAGTTGTCCCCCGACTTTACACACATCACCCTCCCCAGCACGCGGGAGGCAGGGCCAGGCTGATCTCTGAGTCCACGGCCAGCCTGGGAAAAATAGTGAGACCCAGTCTCAAAGAAAAAAACTGGAATGAAAAATAATGAAATAGGAGCTAGAAAGGTGACTCAGCAGTTAAGAGCACCTCCACTACATTCCAGCCTGCGGATCTGACCCCCTCTTGTGGCCATCTTGGGAACTGCACACATGCGCTGTATACAGACACGCGCGCACGCACACAAAATAATTAGGAAGTTAAAAAATAACATAATGAAATACGATCAAGTAAGATAAGGTGAAAGAAAGCAAAAGTAAGGCTAAAAAAAGTTAGATCTACAATATTAGGAACGAATGACATAATTAGGTAAACTTTAAAACACTGAAAACAAATACCCCTCCCTCCCGGCCGTGAACCAAGGCAATGCGCGCACCACAGGGGCAGACGGGTCCCTGTGTGTCCGGGAGGCCCAGAGGTTGGGGGTCGCCCGGGCGCCCCGACCTGGGGCCGGTTGGGGCGCAGTGGGGACAAGCGCGTTCTTTCCGAGAACATTGAGAACCTACTGAGTGCACCGCGCAGCCGCACTCCGGAGCGAGGCCTCTGCCGACAGGCAGGACGCTCGGCCCCACCCCGGCCCCTCCTGTACCTCTGCCAGGCCCTCAAGTCTCCAGTCGGTGCCGCCTGTCGCCAACCGCCGCGCGGTCCGGACCCCAGATCAGCGGACCAGCCGAGACCCCCGGGGCTGTGAGCGGCTGCCCACGCCCCGCCCACGCCAGCGTCTATTGGACACGGTCAGCGCCGCTCAACAGAACCTAGATTTTATTGGTTTGACCTGCCGCCAATCATTCTGCAACGCCTATCGGCTCCGGAAAACAGTTTCCTCCCACTGAGCTATGAGTGCATCTACCAAATGGTTCTGACAGGAAACACGCACTTGCAGTCATGGTTCCGGGAGGAGTTACTGCCTGGAGCTGTCCAGGGTCGCGTGGTGCTGAATGACTACGGGTGGACGTTGGGCAAGCAGAGATTTTCTACAAAGACTGAGACGTTCATGAAGCACTCCTGATGGCTTCAAAAGACACACGAGCCCATCAGACATCTGTGGACAGAAGGCATAAACGCAAGCTCAAGTGATCTACTGTGCCTAAGCACAGCTAGTAACAACGGAATCCCTCTCCCCATACCTGCAGCCCAGAAGCAACGTGGCACCTGAATAGATCCCAGTATGCTTTAGTTTTAGTATATGTGCGGCCGAAGGGAGCACAGTATGACTTATATATGATATATATGTCATATATATGCACACACGTATGAATATATATACATACATACATGCATACATACATACATACATAGGTTTTTGGAGACAGTTTCTCTGTGTAGCCATGCTGTGCTGGAATTCACTCTGTAGACCACAAGTTCACAGAGATCTGCCTGCTCTGCCTCCTGCGTGATTAAAGGCTGCGCCACCACGGCCTGGCTATTTGGTTTGGTTTCATGTGCATGACTGCTATGCCTGAAGCTCCATCTATGCACCAAATATGTGTCTGGTGTCTGAAGATGTCAGAAGAGGGCATTAAATCCCCTGGGATAGGACACTAAACACGTGTCCTCTACAAACGCAGTTAATACTCTTAACCAGAGTCCAGCTCTGGTTTCCTTTTATGGCTAAGTAGTATTCCATTGTCTGGATTAATTAGATCTGCTTGTCTGTTGCAGGAGAGTTGGGATATTTCTAGGAAAAAATACATGTCTAAATGAGATTAACAGCCATCAGATGAAGAACGTGACTAAAAAATGGTACAGCCTGCACACCTGGGCATCTGCTCAACAGAAATCGAGATTCCTTCACACATGGACTTGAAGCAAATAAGGCTGACAGCCTCCTTCATAATTATTAAGTTCTTGTCACTACAGCAGATACTCTGAACTGGAAAGTTGAGGTGGGATGTGTGTGTGTGTGAGGATTTCAAGGTCAGCCACTGCCACTTCTTAGGGTCAGCATCAGGCAAGACCACATGGTGCCTTACAGGACAGGGGGACAGAAGCATTGAGATGGTTCAGTGACTGATGAACTAAGTGCAAACCCTGGAATCCTAGAACACACTACAAAATTGACCCCTGACCTTTACACACACAGTGTGTCACACATGCACGCCCACTGTGACTCATACACAGAGTAGCAATAGTAAAGTTGGCTTTATAAGAGCTAGGATTAGCTAGATCCATATAGCAGCACACACCTTTCACCTCAGCACTCAGGCAGGAGTAGAAACAGGTGGGTCTCTGTGAGATCGAGGCCAGCCTGGTTTACACAGAAAGTCCCAGGTCACTCAGGGCTACATAGAGAGAGCCTGGTCTCACAACAAACAAAAATAAATAAATAAATATAACTGTGAATGGTAGTTCACAGCTGTGGTCCTAGCACTCGAGATGTCAAGGCCAGAGGACTGTTGGTTGAGGCCAGCCTGAGCTACCAAATGAGGTCATATCTAAACTTAATATATATATTAATATATATATCCAGATCCAGGGGATGTGTGGTTCACAGACACATATACAGAAAAGACAAAACACACACATCAATAGTAAACTGGTTCTGGGAGACCGCTCAGAGGTTCACAGCACTGGCTGCTCCCGCAGGGAACTTGGATTTAATTCCAGCACCCACATGGTGGCTCACAAGCATCTGTAACTCCAGACATAACGAATTTGATGCCTCCTTCAGGACTACATGACACCATGAAGAAAACTGGTGGCCAAATACACATGTAGACAAAACCCCCATTACATGTGCTAGTATTTACTATGTTGGAATATATTTAAATACTGTATAGGGGGCTGGAGAGATGGCTCAGAGGTTAAGAGCACAGACTGCTCTTCCAGAGGTCCTGAGTTCAATTCCCAGCAACCACATGGTGGCTCACAACCATTCATAATGAGATCTGGCGCCCTCTCCTGGCCTGCAGACATAAATGGAGGCAGAATGTTATATTCATAATAAATAAATAAATCTTTAAAAATACTGTATAGGGCATTATATTATATAATATATACAATAAATTTAAATATAGCAGGGCGGTGGTGGCACATGCCCTTAATCCCAGCACTTGGGAGGCAGAGGCAGGTGGATCACCAAGTTCAAGGCTAGCCTGGTCTACAATGTAGACTATTATTTAAGGTGTGTGACTTTGTTAATGCTGCGCTTGAGTAACTCTGTAAAGCTGTGTTACTGTGCCTGTCTAAAACACCTGGTCGTCTAATAAGAGCTGAGCACCCAGCCAATAGCAACGCAGGAGCAAGGATAAGCGGGGCTGGCAGGCGGAGAACCAAGGAAGAGGATACGAGTAAGAGGATGAAACAAGTCAGGCTAAGGCCCTGCGTGTGAGAAAAATATATTACTACAGGTAAGTTCCAGGGCTACTCAAAAAAAAACCCTGTCTTGAACACCACTCCCCCCAAAAAAAGAGTTGCCATGGTTATGGTGTCTCTTCACAGCAATAGACACATATAACATAGGCAACATATAAAACAGACAAAAGATACAAACTTACGAGTCCCAAACACCAAACCTAACATCCATTGATGAGTGGATAAAAATGCCAGAGTATGTTCATGCAGTGGAAAACTATGCAGCAATCAAAATGACTCAATTGTGCACAATATAAATTCCTTCAACACTGTGTTAAGAGAACCTAAAACATGCAAGAGAATGTGCTGCTGGGATTATAACTCCAACAAAACATTCCAGGAAAAGGCAAGGTTCGCCGGGCGTTGGTGGCGCACACCTTTAATCCCAGCACTCGGGAGGCAGAGGCAGGTGGATCTCTGTGAATTTGAGACCAGCCTGGACTACCAAGCAAGTTCCAGGACAGCCTCCAAAGCCACAGAGAAACCCTGTCTCGAAAAAGAACCAAAAAAAAAAAAAAAAAAAAAAAAAAAAAAAGAAAAGGCAAGGTTAACTGGAAGGAAAGATGATCATGGCTGTCTGGGGCTGCCGGTCCATTGCAGGGAAACTGTAGTGAGCGCTGGGATAGTTTGTGTCCAAGGTTTAGGAATGGGAGTGAGGGGCCTCTGGTAGCCACCAGCTAGCATGCAGACCGTTAGCCTTTTTGGTCTGAATTCTTGAGACAGCCTGGCTCTGTAGTCGAGCCCAGCCTTGAACTTTTTATCCTCCCGTCTCAGCCTCCCCAGTGTCGGGACAGCAGGAGTGGACCTGGTTCTGTAGTTAAGAGCTCTAGTGGGACAGAAGCCGGAATCAGCCAACCCCGGAGCTCATAGCCCTGAGGACGGCCCAGCCCAGTCGAGTCTGGGGTAGGTCCACCTGCAGCCCCAGTTCCCCGGGGAAGGGGTGTCTGCCCACCCTGTGACTGGGTGACCACACCCGAGCGCTGGACGTCCCCTCCTGCTTCTGTAAGAGCAGGCTCTGAGAGTGCGCACGAGGCTCACCTGGGGCACCAGGCTGAGGGCTTGCTGCAATGGCAGGTTGGGCGCCCTGGGACTGAGGCTGCAGCGTGTGGCTCCCCCTGCTGGCCATGCTCGGAGCGGTGCCTACCTCACTAGGTTGACCCTAAGCTTTTAGGCAACTTTGTCAGCTAGATAGAGGCACAGGGAAGCACACAACATCCAGGCTCTTTTCCCTTGAGCCACAGTCTAAGTAGCCCAGGCTGTCCTGGAACTCGGAGATCCTCCTGCCTCTGTCTCCCATGGCTGGGATTCAATTTACTACTTCATGTGTATCCATGTTTTGCCAGCATGTGCGGTGCCGTAGGAGACCAGGAGGGGGCGTCCCACCCACTGGAACTGGAATTACAGTTGTGAATCGCAGTGTGGGTGCTGGGAACAGAACCTGAGCCCTCTGAACAAGTAGCAGTGCTCACAACCATGCAGTTATTTCATGCCCTGATATTAAAAGTCAAAATCATTGCTGTGGTGGAGCACTACTTTAATCCCAGCACTCTGGAGGCAGAGGCAGGAGGATCTTTTGAGTTCGAGGCCAGCCTGGTCTAAAGAATTTCAGGACAGCCAGAGCTACAGAAAGAAACCCTGTCTCAAAATAAGCAAACCCAGCACTGGTTTATGTCACACTAGGGATGAGGCGGTACTGAGTTCAGGTTCAAGTACTTTTCTATGTATAGGGCCCTGCAGTATATCTGCGCTACACCCATCCAAGCCAGAAGGGGACAGGCACACATCCACGGACATGGCCAAGCCCATGATGACTCGTTCCCAAGGCAGACACTCTAGGACAGGGTAGCCACTACAGGGAACCTCAAAGTGTCAGCTGTCTTAGCTGGCTTTTAACTCTGATTACCCTGCCCGTGCCCCTCCACCAAGTGTCAGGGTACCATGCTTGACAGCCCCTGCCCTCTCCATCCTCCTGTAATTACAAAATGGAATTTCAGCTGGGCTTCGTGACACACCACTCAGGGCTGAAGCAGGGTCGCTGGGTTCGAGGCCAGCCTAGACCGTACACTGACAACGTTCTCGGAGGGAAGAAACAACCCAAGGGACATGGAGTCACATGACTGCCGTACGGTGAGGCTCATCCAGGGGCGAGCTTGAGATTCTGTGGCTCACTCTCGCAAGAGACAAGATGCTGGATGGACTGTTACCTGGGAAGCCTTAAGACACTGTGACTACTTTCTGGATGTACGCCTTGGTTTTGTTTTCTGAGCCAGGGTTTCCCTGTGTAGCCCTGGCTGTCCTGGAACTCACTCTGTAGACCAGGCTGGTCTCGAACTCAGAGATCCGCCTGCCTCTGCCTCCCGAGTGCTGGGGTTAACGGCGTGCGCCACTACCACCACAGTCCAAGAACACAAAGCTTATACTTGAACATATTCTAGTTTTGCCCTCAAAAATGGGGATCTTTATATAGGTGGGTGGGAGTCCTCAAGGGTGGGTATGGTTCCATCTCGAGGCACCACATAGCAGGAAAGAACTGACTGAAGAGAAAGTTCCCATACATGTTATGGCCTTTCAAAACAAATTATTTTAAAGATGGGGTTTATATAGCCCTGGAACTCTGTAGACCAGGCTGGCCTTGAACTCAGAGACCGCCTGCTTCTGTTTCCCAAGTGCTGGGATTAAAGGTGTGCGCCATGCACAGTCAAGTTATCACGGCCGCTAACTCAGATCAGGAATTAAATGGCTGGCTGGGTATGCAGACAGGCACAGCTGAAGTCAACACGGGGTGTCCATCCTCACCAGCATGTCTCCCTCCAGTGGTCACCACTGTAGCCCAAAGACATGGATGACCACCAAGGAAGGTGGTCCCCAACATGAAGGATCAGATGATCAGGCTCAGGGATTACTCACCCTGAACACTACACAACAGGCCAAGGTTGTTCCCTGTGGTCACTGACAGCACCTGCTCCACTGAGCCGGTGACCCCACAGCCATGGGTCTGTGGGCTGCGAGCCTCCCACCGCCTCCCCGGCCTGGTTGATCCTGTTACCCATGGAAACTGACAACAGGGGAAGGTCGGGGCAGCCCGCTGGCTGCATGGTCAGAGAGCAGGAACCCATTTCCCCCACTGGCACAGGTCATGTCCGCACAAACCTATCAGTAGCCTGTGCCCAGCATTAACCCAGAGGTCGCCATGTGCACCATATCTGAAGGGCCTTGCTGTGTCTCCTGAGTGCCGGGACAGACCGCCCCTCCAGGCTGTAGTCTGTTTATCATAGGGTCAGTAGGACTGATACCGGAGGCCAAGTGTCATTCATCCGTGTCTCTTTATTACCCAGGCGGGCATTGCTGTCACCTGAAAGCAGACAGCACTGGCGGAGGGGCCCATCTTCCTACTGGCTACCTACAACACACAAGGCTGACACTACCTGCCACACAGCCTGACGCCACCACGACCTTTGATCTTGCCCCTCCCCAAGAGCTGAGAGTGGGTGTGGGGATACCCACATGGTCTCACTCACTGGACAGAGCCACCTGATCAAAAATGGTCCTGCTCTGGTGGCTGTTTCAGGGCTGAGAACATGGCCTGAGGTCCAGAACTGCCTGCCAACCCTAGACCCTGAACTCCCACGAGACGAGGACAGAAGGGAAGGGTGGCCAGGGTGGCCACGTCTTCTGCCCAGGCTGAGGATGGGGCCGGACTGGACACAAAGGGGCACTGGCTGTCAAGACGGGAGGGGAAGCGGGGAAGGAGACAGACGTCCACACGTGGGCAGAAGCTACAGGCCTCTCCTGCGTCGCATAGGCCACTGGGACAGGGCAGGCAGGGGCACCTGCTAGGACCAGCAATCCAAGTGTGGGCGCAAAACGCTGGCATCCGGCTGGGGCTGGCAGTGCACGCTTCCCAGGGGACTGAGAGTCAGCTGTTCAAGTCCCTTTCACCGGGCAGGGTGGGGCTTGAGACCCAGGGACCCAGGCTACACCCCGTGGACCCCTGTGCCCCCACCCCTCAGCTTCCCTAGGTGCTAGAGGAACGGCTGCTGGTGCGTAGCTGTCGGCTGATTCTCTTCCAGGAAGGTGCGGGGTCAGCAAGAATACAAAAACAGGAGGGGCGGGGTGGGGGTGAAGAGAAACGGGGAACGAGTCCGTCTCATCATGCAGGTCCAGTTTCTCTTTCCTGGGCAGCCCAACGGAGAAAATGCTAAAACACCAGGAGGCCAAAGATCGATGGGATCACCACACAGACAGCTGTGAAGAGAAGCCAGGGCAGTGAGAGCCACGGCCAGACTAGGGCCCAGTGGGGAAGGACACTCAGGGACACCCAGGGTCACTACTGTGGCTTCCAAGAAACAATCAGCGGCTAAATGATGAAGAGACACACCTGTCACTCAACACTCTTGGTACGAAAAACCAAGCATCAGGACTGGGGGATGCTCAGTATGTGAGGTGCTGACTCCCGACATCCGAGGACCTGCATTCGGTCCCCAGGAGCCATGTGAACAGTCAGGCACTCTGGCTCATGGTTGCAAAGCCAGGGATGGAGGTGGGAACTTGGAGAACGCAACAAAACTCTACACCAGCGACAGCCTAAAGGCTGGGGTCTGGGCCAACACCGAGGTTGGCTGTGACTGTAAATGTGTGCCCGAGAGCATACACAAAGGCATGAATGAAGGGATAAGGGGGCGGGGGTGTGGCCAGGGCAAAGCCTCTTGCACAGAACAAGGCCCTAGGTTCATCTGCACCACTGCAATACAGTGACAGCAAGCGGAAGTTCTGCACAGGTTGTGCCCGGCAGCTCTGGACAGACAGACAGACAGACAGACAGACAGACAGACAGACAGACAGACAGACAGACACACACACACACACACACACACACACACACACACACACTCATTGCCATGGCGACAGGAAATGGACAGGTGAGGACAGGACCCCTGATGGCTTTACCGTCACTCTTGCTGTTCCTCGTGGCTGGCGCTGGGCGTCCGGCTGCGTACCACCTGGCTCCGAATCTGTTCCACGAACTCCGGGTTCTGCTGCTGCATCTGCTGTGCGAATTGCTGGCCCCTGTGGAGGTCCAGGAGGCTGACTGTGCTCTCCGTTCTGCTGGGACCCCTCCCTCATGCCCTCCTCCCCGCCCCTCTTACCCCTGGGATGTGAGCGCCCCCCACAACCCCCAGCAGCACTCACGCCTGGATGAGGCTGGCCAAGTCACTCTGTGCTGAACTGCTGCCTGGGGTACCCAAGGGGTTATGGCCACCAGAGATCATGCCTGACATCCTGCAGGAGAGAGGACTAAGCACATGACCCCGGCAGCCACTGCCCTGATTCCCACAGTCGTGACATGTGGCTGTCGTTACTAAGTGTAGGGAGCTGACAGGAAGGGTTAGCACAAACATTCAGTTACAAGCATGAGGAAGTCCCGTGGGGCTGGAGTGTAAAAGCAGCCCCCGCCACTCCTCAGCAACACAGCTGACTCTGGGCTCCGACCCGGTGTGCTCACAGCTGACAGTTGTCAGAACAAATGGCTCATGACACTCTGAAATATTGCACAGCCCTGAACGGGAGGCTGTGACACGCGCCATAGCACAGGCAGAGCGCAAGGACTCTGTTAATCAACAGCCAGACCAAAAAGGCCCAACACGACACTGGGGGAGATGCCCACAGCAGGACAGCACAGACACAGACACGGGAGGTATCTGTAGGTACTGAGGTCTGGGGAGAAGACGGGGTGACGGCTCATGTGGACGGAAGGCTCTGTAAGTAGCACACAGTAGCATGACAACACGGTAGTGCATAATCCACCCAGTTTCTTGATTAAAGATAAACTCTAGGCTGGGCAACACATCACACTTATCTAGCACTATCAGTTCAAGGTCCTTTGGTCTACATCAAGAATTTCAGAACAGCCGGTCGGTGGTGGCGCACGCCTTTAATCCCAGCACTCGGGAGGCAGAGGCAGGCGGATCTCTGTGAGTTCGAGGCCAGGCTGGACCAACAGCCTCCAAAACAATACAGAGAAACCCTGTCTCATAAAAACCAAAAAAGAATTTCAGAACAAAAAAAGTGTTCCAGGACAGTTGGAGGTACTCAGTGGGACCCAGCCTCAAAATGCAAATATTGGGCTGGAGAGATGGCTCAGAGGTTAAGAGCACTAATGGCTCTTCCAGGGGTCCTGAGTTCAATTCCCAGCAACCACATGGTGGCTCACAGCCATCTAAAATTCAATCTGGTGCCTTCTTCTGGCATGTAGGCAGAACACTGCATATGTGATAAATTAAATAAATCTTAAAAAAACAAACAAAAAACCGTAAATGTTAAGTAAATTTTGGCTTTCTCTTATACAAAATAAATAAACACACACACACACAACAACAACCACAACCACAACCACCAGACAAAAGAAGCAACTTTGGCTTTGGTTTTTCGAGACAGGGTTTCTCTGTGGCTTTGGAGGCTGTCCTGGAACTCGCTTGGTAGTCCAGGCTGGTCTCGAACTCACAGAGATCCGCCTGCCTCTGCCTCCCGAGTGCTGGGATTAAAGGCGTGCGCCACCAATGCCCGGCTTTGGCTTTCTCTTATTAAAAAAACAAAAAAACAAATTTCTGGACAGTGGTGGCACACACCTTTACTCCCAGCACTCGGGAGGCAGAGGCAGGAGGATCTCTGAGTTTGAGGCCAGCCTGGTCTACAGAGTGAGCTCCAGGACAGCCATGACTACTCAGAGAAAACAAAATTATAATAAGGGATGCAGAGATGTTCACGGTTGGAGCACCGGCTGCTCTCAGTCATCTGTACCCATTCCCAGGTTATCTGACGCCCCGCCCTGGCTTCGCTGGGCCACACACACAAGGACAGCAGGAGCAGTGTCACTTACAGCTGCTGCAGCTGGGGACTGTTCATTAAGCTGGAAGCCTGAGAGGAAAGAAGGCAGCCATGTCAGGAGAGGCCGGGCCTCGGTCACAATGGCCCCATGCACGCCCCTCCCTCCTACTGACACCAGCCCTCACGCAGCCCAGGCCACTGCAGAGCCATGCCCCAGCCCCCGTGCTCTGACACTGTCAGAGCATATATAGCTTCGGCTGTTCTGGAACCTTCCACCCTCCTGTCTCAGCATCCCACTGCTTGGCTCTTAGGACTGCACCACCGTGCCCAGTAGAGGTGAATCTTTCAGGGTGAAAACCACCGCTCAGCCCCAAACAGCCACGTTTGCCCTGTGGAGCCCCCAGACTGAGCAAACTAAGCTTTAGTCACAAAGTGTGGCTGGCAGGAGGGCAGTGCACAGCCCAGACTCAGACAGGTCTAGAGCAGTCCTGCCCTAGAAGTGACACATTCAGCAAAGACATTCGACCTATCCATGCTGGCTGAGGCTGCGGGATGGCCATGAAGGAAGGCAGCACCACAGGCTTGCGGTCCTACAGTGAGGCTCCTGGGGCCCTTTCCCTGTGGGTACTCGATGTCCCCTTGGACCCCTTGCCAGGAGGTAGGCTTGGGTCGCGGGACCCTGACCTGGGAGCAGGGGCTGAAGGCACTTGCTTACCATAGTGATGAAGTGAGGGTTGTTTAGCAGGCCGGCGATGTCCAAACTGCCCACGCCTCCCGTCTGAAGGAGAAGCATCGGTTAGTGGTGTCTGGAGCCAGGCTGGCCACTCTGGGGAAAAGCCGACTAGCCGCAGCCCTCGGGGTCTCGGAGGTTCTACACCATTCAGGGAGGGTCCTGCCAGGAGCCCCCAACAAGCCTGCCTGTCACTGTGAACCCCCGGGCAGCCTGTACCCCCCGCCTTGTCTGTGCCTTTCAACCTGTCACCACCACACAGACCACAGAGGGTCCCTGCTGCATGTTCCACGTGGACCAGTGTGGCCTGCTCTGCCCTCTGTCCCAGAAAGCCATCCCTGCCATCCCAGGTGCCCTCCCAGAACAGGGGCTCCAGCATGGCCTCCCGTCACCCTGTGGGATGGGCTCACGGGACTCGGCGCCTCCCGCAGTTTCAGCTCTGCAATCTTGAGGTTGGACTTGTACGTGTCATTCTCGGGGTCCAGGTCCAGGGCCTTCTTGTAGTAAGCCACAGCCTCGGCGTGCTTGTTCAGGCTGGACAGTGCCAGGCTTGGGACAAGAGCAGGCAGGTGAGCCGCAGTGCAGCCGATGGGACACAGTGCCATCCCCACTCTGGGCACCGTATGGGCCAACGCTGGGAACCAGCGTTCACAGGGGCCATCCCTCGGCAGAGCCCAAGGAGGGCAGGGAGATTATGCGTGTTCCTGTCACCAGCTCTAGCCCACATCTGAGACTCCTACTGAGGGGACCTGGAGGATCCGAGACTAAATCTCCCAAAAGAACAAAGGGATGGGGCGTTGGTAGCACAGCCTTTAATCCCAGCACTCGGGAGGCAGAGGCAGGTGGATCTCTGAGTTCAAGGCCAGCCTGGTCTACAGAGGGAGTTCCAGGACAGGGTCAAAACTGAAGTGAAAGAGGGCCAGAGATAGGGACACTATCTTGCTCACTGGGGAGGGCTGGCCTGGACAGAAGCTCCCAGCACCTGCGAGTCAGCTGCATCCCTACAAGTACCTCGGGGACGAGTCTCCCTGGTGCTGCAAGCGCTCTAGCAGATCAAGGCAGCGGGGACCAGACAACTGCTGGCTGCACTCACCCCATGCGGCCATAGGCCTTACTATAGCCTGGGTCGATGCCAATGGCGCGCTCGCAGTCCTGCACGGCCCCCACGTAGTTCCCCAGCTTGCTGTAGGCCGCGGCTCTGAAGAGAGGGACACTCAGGCTGGTCTGTGGCGGGGTGATAGGCGCTACACCCCAGCCCCCTGGGACCACTGAAACTCCAAAGCCTACCACAGGCCTTGGGAGGTAGACAGGGCTATGTGAAGCCCTGCCTCAGATAATAAAAATCAAAAGGAAAACAACAGCATGGGCGAAGACAATCGGACAAGTCTCCAGCTGTCTGGCACAGGGCTGCACTCCCCGCCTGTCAGGGTCCTGTATGAGAATCACGCGACCCCAAGAGACCGCCTGACCCTCACTCTTCCCCGCGGCAGCCACCGTGCCCCTGGTACCTGTTACAGAAGTAGACAGCGTTGGAGGGGTTGAGCTCAATGGCCTGGCCATAGAGGCGCACAGCCGCCTCAAAGTTCTCCAGCTTCATCTGCTCGTTACCTGCAGCGCGAGAGAGGGGCCCAGGCTACCACCAAGCCCTAGCACCTCTGTGTTAAGATTCCAAAAGGGAGAGCCACACCTGGTGACACTGGGGCTTCTTCCTTTCAGAGAAGGGCCATGTGTCCCAGGCTGGCCTCAAACTTAGGATGCAGCCAATTCCTGCCCCGGCACCACACTCTGGACAGAAGCCAGCTTCACACAAGCTGGGTGAGGGCTACGCTGTACACCCCCAGGGATACGGCAGTGCTGGCACATGGCAGGCCCACTGTGGTGTCTGGGTGACAAGGACAAGAATCCAGCCTGCACAGGTCCATTTTCCATGCAGAGCCAGGGACATGGAGGGTCACCCACCTCCTAGGAGCCACAGATGGACTGCAATACAGGGACTGTGGTCTGCCTGAGCTTGTGTCTTTTGGGGACTTTCCTCAAAGTTAGTGTTCACACAGGCTTTATTTTCCCCGATTTAATTGAGACAAAGTCTTGCTCTGTAGACCACACTGGCCTTGATCTCAGAGATGCACCTGCCTCTGTCTCCAGAGGGCTGTGATTGACCAGGCTTGGTCTCGAACTCTCAGAGATCCCCTGCCTCTTTATTATCGTTTTTTAAAAACTGATTTGTTTTGAGGGTCTTGCAATGGAATCTTGGCTGGCCTGGAATGCACGATGTAGACTGGGTTCATGAATGCTGAAATAAATGTACATTTTATTCTGCGTTAGGTATGTGCGTATGGATATGTGGGTGCAGTGCCTACAGAGGCCAGAAGAGGGCACTGAACTCCCCCAGAGTTGGACATGGAACCAGCTGTGAGCTAGCTGCTTGACAAGGGTATGAGAACCAATCTTAGGCCAATGCGAGAAGAGTGAGTTTTAACCCTTGCGCCATCTCTCCAGCACCCCACAGATGCACTTTTAAAAGCACCCTCTGCCCCTCCCCCTGGCCACCGCGCCGACCACTCCCTCTGGCACCTTGCAGAGGCCCCCATGGGGACGGCTGTCTCCCTCACCTTCGGTTTTGAGGCGCTCTGCCTCAGCGGAGTCCTCCTCAGAGGGCGGCGTCCTGTCAGGGCCCCTCGGGTCCTGGGGCGTCTCCTGCTGGGGCAAACAACCCTGGGTGTCCAGCCAAAACTGCGCTTGCAGGATGCTACCCAGTCCGTCAAGCACCAAATGCCCACACACTGCCATCTTGGTGCGGCTGAGGAAACCCAGGCTCACCTTGCCAGCAGCAGCTGCTTCAAATATCTCTGGCAGGGTCTGGGGCAGAGCTAGGTCACTGTCCTCCACTGTCACCCCAAAGGCTGTCTCCAGACACTGGATGGCAACTGTACAGGAGGAAGACGCGCTGACCTCTATGGAGTGCGGGCTCCCAGCATGGGCAGAGCCCACAGCAAGTGCTGCCATCTCCCTTTTTCCTTGAGCTTGGGTCTCAGTAGCCCAGGCTGCCCTCAAACTCTACACAGCCGAGCATGTCCCAGAACCCCTGGTCCTCCTGCCTCTGCCCTGGAACAGGGTGTACCAGCACACCTGGTCTGAGCCCGGGACTTCAGACAAGCTAGGTTTTCTCCACCTACTGAGCCCAGCCCAGCACCCGGAAGGCCCCGGGGCACTGAAGCTTTCGTCTCCGTAACCTTAGAGGCCGGACAGCAGCAGGCACACAGGAGGCCTGAGATGGGTGACCTCGTGCTCTCTGTGGGGTCACCATGCTGAGGCTTGGCCTGACTGAGTCATCAGCACCTACCCTGAGAACAGGGTGACATCCATGCTACAGATCTGCCGCTCCTGGGGCAAACTGCCATGCTGGCCCTAAGGGCCCGGCACCAGCTGACTACCACTTCATGCCTGAGACAGGAAGTGAACAGCTTGGGCTCCCGGAACCTCTGGAGCCGACCGGATGTAGCAGGTAAGTCAAGCACACAGAGGCAGGAACAGAGGTTCAGAGGCTCAGAGCAGCAGCCCCTCAGGAAAGGAGGCGTCAGGCACGCCTGGCCTCCTGCAGGCTGTGGTGCACTCCAGGCCAGGGTGGGCTCTGGGGACACAGCTTTCTTTTGAGTCATTTCTACTTACAAGCTAGGCTTTGGTGGCGTCTGTATCTTGGCTTATCAGGCATCCTTTATCTGAGCCACACAATGAGGAACGCACAGGAGGCCACCAGCAACTAAGGCTGCCCCAGGAACAACTGTCCCCGTGGAGCGTAAAGGGGGGTAGGTCGGGTTAGATGCTGGCATCGGGGAGGCACAGTAAGGACAGACACACCAGGGTCTCAGGAGATCGGGACTGCACCTTGGCTGCCAGCAGGGAGATGACGATTCAGCCCACAACCCTGAGGGCCAGCAAGGGAACCCAGGGTACCAGTGGGGAGCTGGGCACCCGCCACTCTTCTCACGAGCCAAGAAAGGGGACAGACGACCAGGCCAGGCATGCATGCATGCCAGCAGCCTCCCACGAGTGCTGACAGGCTGGGACGTCCTGGGCCCGGACAAAGGCTGGCAGGGCAGCAGCCACACCTACCCTCCAGGCTCTCCTGGGCATCAGGCGAGAGCCCACCATTCCGTAGCTGGCCGTGCAGAAACTGGATGATGGCATAGGCCAGGCGCTTTCTGTTGTCCATCTCAAGGCTGCTGAGGTGACACTGCTGGCTCAGGATCTGTGGGGACAGCCAAAGTGTAGGATGCGGAACCAGGGATTGAGACCTGCCCTTGACTTATGGGTCCCTGGCACCCAGCCACCACAACTGGTCCAAGAGCACCAGCCAGTCCTAGTATCAAGGCCACTAGGCAGAGCCTTCTATCTGCTCGTGACAGCTGGGAACACCATGGCGAGTGGCTGCAGACCTGTCTGCCACACAGAAACGACTGTCTCACAGGACATGGTGCTAGGGATGGAAAGCACGCCCTGAGCTGATAGTGTGGCCTCCAGGCACTGTTTCCTCAGTTTACCCTGTTGCAGCATGCCAGCCCATCTCCCAGGGCCAGGTGACAGGGGCTGTTTTCTGGAGCCCCAGGGCTTTGAGGGGTCTAGCTCCTTGATGCCCCCATACCCAGAGCTTGGCAGGTGCTTCAGTTCACCAGCCCTGGTCCCCAAGACACCTGGTGACACTACATGGTGACACGGGGACATCTCTGGAGGCAGCAATGAGCTTGAAGAGGAAGCGTGTTTGGACCCTGGCACAACAACAGACACCATATGACGGAGGCAAAGGGACCTGGGCAACAGCAGCCCTGGAGGTGGGGAGGCAGGAAGGAAGACGGCCGCGGGCATGGGACTCTGCCATGACAGTTCAGACGTGTGGCCTCCAATCCAGGGCAGAGCATGACCACACGACAGCCACGCGACTCTCCTCTAAGTTCCGCCTCAGAGGTCAGGTGCCACCCCTGTAAAGTGGGGTTGACAGAAGCCTCACAGTCATCGCGCAGTCAAGGACTGTCCTCAGCCAGAGCAGGTTCACACTTGTCCCTGATGCCATGAGCCCTCAGCACAGACGCAGACGCATAGCACTGGGGGACCTCCAGAGACCAGCTCAGTATCCTGAGCCTCACAGGTCTTCACGGGTGGTGGGTTAAGAGAGGAGGGCCTAGATCCCGGAATGGAGAAGGCATGCGGGGCAAAGCCCTCTGTGGCTTCCCAAGGAGTCCCTCCCACCAGGCCCTTGCCCCATCACATCTGGTCATGTCTGCCTGGCACCATGGCCTCTCAATACCGTCCTCTCCACTGACCAGGACCACACGGGCAGGCTAGCTATCCTGTCCCTCCCCAGGCACACAGCAGCCCCTTTAGCCGTGACCTTCATCCTGGGCACGCAGGACATGCTCTTAGCAGGGGTGGGGTACTGGCCATTGTCCAAGTGCTCCAAACACGCCTGCTGGACCCCGGCCTGAGGACACATCCTGGCTGTCCCACAGTGGCTGGCACTTTGCCATGCTTTCAGCTCCAGACCAGTGATCAAATAGCACCTGGAAGAACACTCTAGAAGGCAGCCTCAGACGAAACCCAAGAGGGATTTCTCACCCTAGCACTCTGGAGGCTGAGGCCAGAGAACAGCAAGTTCTAAGCTAGCCTTGGCTATGGTAAGACTCGATAGACAAATGAGGTGGTAGTGCATGTCTTTAATCCCATCTCCCAGCCAGCCTGGTCAACAGAGGGAGGTCCAGGACAGCCAAGGCTACACAGAGAAATTCTGTCTTGAAAAACCTTTAATCCCAGCTCTCAGTGGCAGAGGCAGGCGGATCTCTAAGTTCGAGGCCAGCCTGGTCTACAGAGTGAGTTCCAGGACAGCCTCCAAAACAATACAGAGAAACCCTGTCTCAAAAAACAATAACAAAACAAACAAAATACAAAAGCAAAGTAATAAAAATAGGGAGCCAGCAAGATGGCTTAGTGAATACGGAAGCTTGTCACCAAGCTGCAAACTAAATTTCCTCCCTGGGTCCCACAGGGAGGAGAGAGGCCTGACTCCTGGACTGTCCTCTTGGCCTCCATGCGTGCACTATCGTGACGCATACACGCACACAGTGTGAACACCAGGGCTGGAAGACGGCATAATGAGCAGTGCCTGTTGCTCCATAAACACAAGGGTCTGAGCTCAAATCCCTAGCACCCACGTAAAAAGCTGGGCACGGGGATGCCCTGTAACCAGGGCTGGGGTGGAGAGGGGGCTCTCTGGAGTTCACTGGCGGGATGGAGACTGAGCAAGGGAGACAGCGTGTGGCTTCTGCATGAGGGAGCTGGAGACCAGGATGGCCCTGTGGTATAGTATGCCTGGTGAGAAGATGAAGAGGACCTGACATGCCAGCTCTGTGACAGCACGGGTCTGTTGGCGAGCTGCCACAGTCCCTCAGACAGTGATGACTGACTGACGCGCTGTGTTCTGGTCATGGTTCACACGGCCTCGACAAGCAATCCCCCATCCCTCCCAGCTGTGAATCAATGATGCTTTAGACTACAATTCCCACCCCTGGGGGGTCCAGCACCTGACAGCCATTATCTCCCTCTGAGCTGCGAGCACCCCACCCCCACTTCCCACACCCCAGGCATGGAGGGTTTGGGAAGCCCTGGCTGAGGGACAAGGCTCTCAAAAGCCTATTCTCCCAGAACAGTGAGGACTTTGAGAGTAGCTGCCCACCACCCAGCTCAAGTCTGGTCTGTGGGGCACAGGATTGGGGGGGTAGGCCATAGCCCCAGGGTGCTCCTGGGTAAGCAGCCAACACCCCTCAGTGTTGTCTCTGCACCCCCTCTCCCCACACCCCTTCTTACCCCCTTTCTTTCTGAGACAGTGAGGCCATGCAGCCTCAGATTCACGGCCCGTCTCAACTCCCCCTGCAGTGTGGACACTATGCTGTGCCTCACCAGACCCAGCTCACTAGCACTCACACAAGGGTGTGTATTGCCACACCCGCTCACCCTTCATCTCAGAATCAAAGTCCAAGCCTGGGGTCTCACTGGGTACTAGCAGCTGCTGAGCAAGGGTAAGGCCCTGAGTTCGGATCCCCAGCACCCACCTAATGCCTGGTCATGGTCATGTGTGTGGGCGACCCTGGCGCCAGGAGTACCCTGTCTCAAGGGAAGAAGATGGAAAAGTCCTTCGGTCTACACAGCAAATTCCAGACCAGCAAGGGCTACATAGTAAGACCCTGTCTCAACAGCAGAGCTCACTAATGCTCCCTACCTACGCCCCTGTCCCAGACAAGTAAGCTAAGAAAAACGGTGAGCCCCAAAGTCAGGGATGTCACCTCAGAGCCTCATACAGGCCCCCAAACCACAGCCCGTGTCCGTCTGCAAGACAAGCCGGTGTCAGAGAGCACAAAAGCCCCACCAGCTCCCTGGCAGACCCTGCAAGTGCTCCTGCTGTGGAGAGAAGGGGGGGGCCACTCTAACCCTCGGAAACTCAAGGGTGGGCCCTCCCCCTCCCCTCCCCTCCCCCACACCTGATAAAAACAGTCTACACTGCCCAGTCCTACCCCACGCCCAAACCTGAGGCAGCCTTGGGCGTCATCGGGGCTGCGCACCCCAGAGTTCACGGAATAGTGAGCTGCATCCACACCAGTGGGTGGGTGGGTGGGGTGGGGTAGGTGGCCTCCTTTCTTTGGCTACCAGTTTCCTTACAGAAGTGTAACAGACCAGAGCTGTGATCCCAGCATGCAGGAGACTGAGGCAGGAGTTGACCTCACCCTCAGAAAACACAGTGGATGGCAGGGACACTTAAGAGCACTTGCTACTGTTGTGGAGGGTCAGTTCGCGCACCTGCATGAGTCTCGCACAAGCCCTGGAATTCCAGCTCCAGAGGGTCTGACGCCCTCTTCTGGCCTCCATGGGCACTGCATGCACACACACACACACAAATGTACATTAAAGAAAAACAACAAACAGACTAGAATCTGGTGGTGCTCCATCGTTGCAGCACTTGGGAGGTGGAGACAGGAGGATCAGGGGTTCAAGGTCATCCTCAGCTCCACAGCCTGAGAGCAGCTGGGCTACATGAATTCCTGTTTTAAGTATAAAAATGTAGAGCTGGAGCCGGGCGTTGGTGGCGCACGCCTTTAATCCCAGCACTCGGGAGGCAGAGGCAGGCGGATCTCTGTGAGTTCGAGGCCAGCCTGGTCTACAAAGTGAGTTCCAGGACAGCCTCCAAAGCCACAGAGAAACCTTGTCTTGAAAAACAAAAACAAAAACAAAAACAAAAAAAATGTAGAGCTGACTCCCACACGAGGACCAAGGAGTACAGGGCAGGGCTCTGCAGGGGCTGGCATGTGACATGGGCCAGGGGACCCTGCCTGGAAGAGTCTTCCTGGGCACCCAGCTAACAAATGTGTGCAGCACGCTCTTTGGGGCCACTGGACACGCAAGGCTCCTCCCACTCCAGCCATCAGCCCAGCATGCGGGAGGCTGTCTCCCCCTCCCAACAAGCTCACAAGCCAGAGAAGTGCGGCAACTTCTCAGCTAGGACACAGAAGCCTGGTGAGGTCCCTGGACTGGGTCCCGGTGGGCAGAACTCACCCAGCACACAGGAAGCCCTGGAATGAGGGGACCCTGTCTCAAGACAAAACAGAAAGGGCTTGGAATACAGCTCAGCTGATGGAGCCAATGCCCAGACATGAAGCAGCGGCTCCAGGATAAGCCCGAACCACAAAACGGGGTGCCCACAGTCTCGGGACCCACATAATCTGTGCAGGAGCCTCAATACTGATAAGCCACTGGGCTAGGGTTTCGCCTTAACACTGGAGCTCACGATGTAGCCCAGGCTGAACTCAAATTTAAGGCAATCCTCATGTCTGCCTCCTGAGTGCTGGAATGACAGGCATACTGCATTATTGGTGCGTTCATGTATGCACCGGCGCGAGCGCGTGCGTGTGCCTGCATGCGTGTGAAAGTGTCTAACCAGGTCCTAGCACTTAGGAGGCAGAGGCAGGCGGGGAGGATTTCTTTGAGGAACAGGCAAGCCTGGTCCACAAAGCTACACAGAGAATCTCTGTCTCAAAAACACAAAAAGAGGGCTGGAGAGACGGCTCAGAGGTTGAGCACTGGCTGCTCTTCCAGAGGTCCTGAGTTCAATTCCCAGCAACCACATGGTGGCTCACAACCATCCGTAATGAGATCTGGTGCCCTCTTCTGACATGCAGGCAGACATGGAGGCAGGATGTTGTAGTCATAATAAATAAATTTAAAAAGAAAGAAACAGGAAACAGTGTCTGACCCTGGGACACCAGGCTGAACAAGGTAAGGCTGGCTATCCAGAGGCCCCGGGATCTGCCTATCTCTAGTCTCCTGCACTGAGATTGCCACTTGTGGCTTTTTTTTTTTTTTGGTTTTTCGAGACAGGGTTTCTCTGTATTGTTTTGGAGGCTGTCCTGGAACTCGCTCTGTAGACCAGGCTGGTCTCGAACTCAGATCTGCCTGCCTCTGCCTCCAGAGTGCTGGCATTAAAGTTGTGCGCCACGACCACCCGGCTCACTTGTGGTTTTTTACACGGGTGGGTGTAAGGAATGAGTTCAGCATCTTCCCCTCCCCACTGGACCAAGTTCCTGGCCTCCACTCAGTGCCAGAAGTCTGAGCCCCTTCAGTTACAGCGATCACTAGTGTCCCCAGACAATCCCAGGGTTCCTGGGGACAAGAATGGCCAGATAAAAACCAGAGTCAGGAACAGACCAAAGCAGATTAACCAGTGGGGACCCCGTGTCCTCTCCAACCTTCCACCAAGGCTGACAGGCCTACAGGATGCTAAGGAAACTTAGGGCCATTCACCCTCTGGATGATAGAGACATTCACAACAATTTCAGTTGGCTTCGTTGTTGCTGTATTTGCACTTTCTTGTTTGTGTTTTGGTTTTTCAAGACAGGGTTTCTCTGTGGCTTTGGAGGCTGTCCTGGAACTCGCTTGGTAGTCCCTGCAACTTGAATTTCCTAGGTAGCCCAGGCTGGGCCTTGAAACTCTGCAGCTAGCCCAGGAATTTCGGGTGATGGACGAAGAGCCGAGCATTCTGCTGCCCTCGGGTGCTGTCTTTTTGAGCCAGTGTACAGTCCTGGCTGGCGCGGAACTCAAGCCGATCCTCCTGCCCCAGCCTCACGGCCGCTCCGAGAGGGCAAGCGCCCGGGCCCAGTACGCACAGCAGGCAGGCGGGGCCCTCGCCCTTCGCCCACCCTTACTTTGGTGCCCGACAGCACCCGCACCGCTCGCAAGGGCGGCGGTGACCACGTCCGCTGAACACAAGGAGGAAACTGAGGCTCTGAGCGGGCGACAGCCTGAGCAAGGTCACCAGACCGGCGAGCGGCGCAGCGGGGTGACACCGGAGAGCCGAGGGTGGCGAGGCACGCCACACCCACACGCCGGCCTTCCCACGGGCAGGAGCGCCCCGCACGCCGCCTGACTCAGTTTCCCCGCTGCGCCGCCCGCTCACGTGACCGGTGGGCGCCGGAGTCCGAACCCCCTTCCCCTCAGGGGGCTCCCGAGCGCCGCGCATGCCGAGCCCCGGCCCCCCACGCCCCGCGGGGCACGGGGGAGCCCCCGACTCACCTCTCAGGCGACCGAAGCCCCGACCCACCGACGGCTGCGCCTGCGCACCGCGGCGCGGGCAGGACCCGCCCTCAGGCCCACGACGCCTGCGCAGAAGGAACCCATCGCCTCCGCGTTCTGGTGCTGCGCGTGCGCCTAAGCGCCGGCTGAGCCACGAAACGGAAGTGACGTAACACGGAGGCGGGCACAACCGGGTCGTTGGAGAAACTGACCCCGGAGGCGCCCGGAGGACCGGAAGTCGGCGTGAGAGGCCGCAAGCGGAGGACCCCAGTGACGCCGGGTGGGTCACGTGGCACGGAGCCGGTCACGTGCTGCAGCTCCGGCGTCACAGCAGGCGGTCGGAGCTGCTGACTGTTGTTCTGCTTTTTTCCTTTTAGGTTTTCAAGACTGGAACTCGCTCTGTAGACCAGGCTGGCCGCGAACCCAGAGACCGCCCGCCTCTGCCTCCCGAGTGCCCGGAGCAAAGGCTGCGCCACCACCGCCCCGCTCGCCCTTCGCTGCAGCCCAGGCTGAACTCAAGCCATTGCAGTCTCCATGGGCATTAGTGACAACCTGGTCCAAGACAGAGAAATCCCATCTTAGAAAAATAAAAGTTTATGGCCATCTCCCTGCATCAGCCTCCGAGTACTAAAGTCAGCCTTCTGCCCTTCGCCGTGTATACACACCGTCGATGTGTGGTTACGCTTGCTACAGTAAGTGTCCCGGGTTGTTTAGGGACTTGAAGTGTCTGGTAAGGCAGGATAGAAAAGCCACACACACCTTTGAGGGACTTGAGAAGAGACAGGATCCTGTCACCTCTGTTCAAGGCTTTTCTTACTTCCAGGCTGAAAACATACTATTTTTTAGAAATCTTGCCAAAAATTCCATTTACAGGGAAGGGACGCAAACTTAGATACACTCTTTTGCAACCCTGGGACTTCTGCTTTTCATTCATCCGATTGAGTTTAACTGCCAACTTGGCACAACCAGAATCACTTAGCAAAGAGTCTTCCTGAATTGTCCAGACTCCGTTGGCTGGTGGACCTGTCTGTGGGGAGCTGTCTTGATTAAATCTGACCTGAGAAGCCCAAGCCACTGTGTGTTGTGGAGTATTATTTAACTTGGCAAAAATGTGTTACATTTGTTCGTGCTGTGTTTGTTAACTCTGTAAAGGTCTGTTACATCTGTATCACCCCGCCTGCCTAAGGCTCCTGATTGGTCTAATAAAACCGGAAAGGTCGGTAGCCATGCAGTAGAGGGATAGACCTAGGCTGGTGGGCAGAGGAAATGAGGAGGAGGAGGGAATGAGAGGAGGGAGAAAGAGAGGGAGACACTTGGGGCTAGCCCCTGGAAATGGAGCAGGCCGTACAGAGCAAAAGAAAGGGAAAAAGCCCCAGGGCAAAGCACAGACGAAGAGAGACGGGTTAAGTTATAAGAGCTGGAGGGACAGGCCTAGGCTAAGGTCAGGCACTCATAACTAATAGTAAGTCTCCAAGTCATGATTTGGCGCTGACGTCTGAGAAAGCCTGCTACAGCTGTGGGCAGCAACGTTTCCTAGGAGGGGAAAGGGGGCTGAGAGGAAGCTCGAGGAAAGACGCCGTACCTGGCTCTTTCTGCCCTTGACTGTGGGTGTGATGTGGGCAGCCTCACGTCCTGCCCAGACTCCCTTGCTGTCCCCTCCACCACCTCATGAGGCCCCGAGTCACTTCACACCCGGCGTTGCTTCTTGAACTGGCCGCTCCCAGGAGCCTTTCCACATCCAAGTCTTGAGTCTCTGTGTAATCTGTAGCCAAGTCCGTAAGATGAGGGGTCCTCCTCGGACAGTGGAGGGCGATGGTGTGGTGCTCTGCCTGATTCCTCACAGCTGACACTTGGGGAAAGTCAGAAAGGAGAAGAGAACTAACCCCTGAGACACAAGCAACAGCAGACACGAATACAAACTCAGATGAAAATTCTCAAGCAACTGAGGCGAGAAAAAGACCCAAACTGTGGCTCATGTGTGTACTGGGGAAGGCTGAGGCAGGAGAATCACAGAGCCTGGGTTACTAAATGATACCACATCTCAAATGTGAGCACACACACACACACACACATGCACACGCGCGCACACACACACAGAAAACCAGGGGTGTTGAGACCTCCCCAGTGCTGAAGTTTCTATAATGACCTCAAGGAGGGGTTCACTGGGTAGAGCCCTGGCTGAGCACACTCCAACCCTGGGTTCCATTTCCAGAACCGCAGAAACTAGATGTGGAAGTGCATGCCTGTCATGCAACACTCTGGAGATAGAGAAGCAGGACAGCCAAAGGTTCAAGGCCATCCTCAAAGCAAATTCCAGGTCGGCCATCTCAAAAAAAGATGAAAAAATCCCCCAGAGAGCTGAAGAGATGACTCGGCAAGTGCACTCACTGGCTTCTCTTCCAGAAGACCCAGGTTCAAGAGTTAGCATCCACAAGACAGCTCTCAGCCAGTTACCCCAATCCCAGAGCCCCCTTCTGGCTGCTGTGAAGCAGGAAGGTGCAGTACTCACCAGATCCACAAATACGGGCACTTACACTGATACACACACTCACACAGGCACACACACTTGCCACCAAGTCTGCAGACTGACTCCCACAAGCCCTTTCGATGCCCACAACTCACTTCAAGAGCCCCACATCAGCAGGTGTTGAGTCCCTCCCTGTTGTGTGCCTGTGCCCTGTTGGAGCATGCTTAACATGCTCGTGGCTGTCGCACCTGCTGTGCGGCCTGCATCCGAGAATGTAGCGAGGTGGTCGGGATAGATGACACAGAGACCGGTCGGTTGCTTTAAGAAAACTTTATGTTTCCCAAGTCAGCTTAGGAGGAGACCCCAGTCCGCTTAGGAGAGCTCTCAGGAGAAGTCTAAGAAAAAAGAGCTTCCCTTTTTAAGGACTTCTGCCATTTATCTACATACCATTCTTTTCTCCTGGCTGGTGGTTTAATCTCCGGCCCCAGAATCGGGGAGACACCACAGGGAAACAGGAAGAGGCATCTAGCCGTAGGGGGTATGAAAGGCATGGTATTTCAGTGAGCAAGCCCTTATCTGAGCCCTATCAAGAGCTTTAAAGCACTGAATTGTTTTCAGTAAACATTAACAGATGCCTGCTCCCAGGCCGAAGGGGAAGTGGGTTTCTGCTCAAGGTCTAGTGTCCCCACACGTGGCAGCCCAAAGTTGAGTCACTTAGGGGCTGGAGAGATGGCACAGTGATTCGAGCTTTGGATGCTCTTACGGGGAGCCAGGGGTTCAGTCCCAGCACCCAATCTGCAACTCCTCTGTGTTGTTGGTTGTTTTACTCTGGGGACCCGGCTCCCACATAACTCTCACACAGAGGCTTATTATTGCTTACAAATGCATGGTTAGCTTGGCTTGTTTCTAGCCAGCTCTCCTTAAATCAGCTACCTTTTGCCTCTGGGCTTTTACCTTTCTCTTACTTCTGGGTATCTTAATTTCATTCTCACTGCATGCTTGGCTGCCCTTTCTCTTCTCCTTCCGTCTCTTGTTCCGGGATCATTCTTTTTCTCCTTTTGTTTATCCTCTGGGCTGCCAGCACTGCCTCTCCCCTCTCCTGCCTCGCTATTGGCCGTTCAGTTCTTTATTAGACCAATGGGGTCTAATAAGTAGAAAGTCTACTAAGTAAGTCTGTCCCATCATCTCATTGAGGCAGGACCAAGGCACCTCCCCACACCCCACACCCTTGTCTAGGCTGAGCAAGGCGTCTCTCATACAGAACGGGCTCCACTAAGTCAGTTTGTGCATTAGTGTTAGATCTTGGACCCACTGCCAGGAGCCTCATATATTGTCCCTGTCACACCACTGTCACCTATATTAAAGGAGTCTTATGCTAGTGCCCCAGGTGTCAGGCCTGAGTCAGTGACCTCTCAGTAGCTCGGGTCAGCTGAGTCTGTGGGTTTGCTGGTCTAGCCCCACCACTCTCTCCAAGGCTCCTGCCTGCCCTACCTGTAGCCCTTTGTGGGCAGAGCCTCCTATCCAGTCCCAGGTATTTATTCTTTTCTTTGTCTTTTTTTGTAGGTAGCCATGTCGATCAGTGTAACCTGTCAATCTGACTGGATCCCAAATCCCTGTGGGGTGGGTCCGGCAGCTTATCTCGTGGAGGAAGACTCTGGGCAGGGACCCTGACCTAAAAATGGAGAAAGGGAGTGAGTCACTGCTATGCAGGCAGTGTCCTGTCTGCGTCCTGACGTGGTGTGGTCTATTGCTTCCAGGCTCCTATTGCCTGGATTCCCCCCAGGGCCTGTGCCTGTCCTTTAAGGTACTTTGGTGTTTTGTTTTGTTTTTCGAGACAGGGTTTCTCTGTGTAGTCCCAACTATCCTGGAACTCTCTCTGTAGACCAGGCTGGCCTTGACTAAGAGATCTGCCTGCCTCTGTCTTCCCAAAGCTACTGCTTAAGGGGGTATATTTATGTTTGTGTGCATGCACGCCACGTCGGGTCCCCTGGAGCTGAGTCCTGTGGGTGCCAGGATCTGAAGCCCTCTGGACGTCAGTGCTCTTACCACCAAACCAGCTCCCCAGTTGCCCATTGCTGCTTAAAACGGAGCATTTCATCACAGCACCACGAAAAGACTCTGTCCTATCACCAGAAGTGATTCCTTTAGGTTTTGTTGTTGTTTATTTTTTTTCAGACAGGGTATGTAGCCCAGGCTACCCCTGCAGGTTGAAGGTTGGGCTGCTTCCACTTAGCACTGGGATTGCAGATGTGTGCCAGCTCAGGAAAAAAAAAGACAAAAGAAAGAGAAGCCAGGCATGGTGGCATGCTCCTGTCATCCCAGAACTCAGAAGGGGGATGCAGGGGGATCTGGAGGTTCAAGGTCGTCCTTGGTTACATGGCAAAGGTGAGGCTAGCCTGTGCTACACGAACTGAAGAACGGAAAGAAATGAAACGAACGAACAGGCCAAGGGCATTCGCACAAGGTCTGCAGCAGGCAATATGCACGCGGAGCAGAAAGATGTTAGGTTTCCATAGAAACAGCATCCCTGCCGCCTTAAGGTTCCGCCCACCACTCTCTGACCGCCAATCACGAACTCACCGGTGTGCTGCGCATGCGCAGCACGGCATCGCTGGCTGGATTCTCCTCCCGCTTCCAGGAGACATGGGCGGAGCCGCGATGCGCCCACGCCGGAGTGGTTGTGCTGCGCGCTTGCGCACTCGCGCCGCCCGCCGGCCCTGGCGCGCAGGCGCCTTCCCAGCGTGCCCCGAGCGCGCGGGCGGCGGGCGGCTCAGTGTGCGAGGGACGGCGGAGCGGCGGGCCCCGGCCGGTGAGCTCCCGACGAGACCAGACGGCCCAGGCTGAGGATCGGGAGCAGGCCGTCCGTGCGCGCGCAGGTCGCCGCCATGAAGCCCCCTGCAGGTACCGGCCGCCCCTCGCCCGGGTCCGCACACCTCCTCCGGCTCCTGGAGCCTGTGGGATCCCCGGCCCCCGGTCCCCTCATCTGCAAAATGAATGACCCAACTCTCCCATAACTTCATCCTCTTGGCAGACGGCATTTAAAAAGATTTTAAAAACTTTCCTACTGCTCCCCGCCGTTCCCTCGAGAGTGAGATGGTCTGCCCAGCCGGCGGTGAGCACCACCCACACCCGAGTAAAGGCTGGGGGCTTCTCTAGGGCTGCGTGGACACGGTGGCCTGTGGGAACCTGGCAGCCAGGACCGGGTACCAGGCGGCATATAGCGAGGTCGGGGAGCTAAGTGTGTGTGTGGGGGGGTGCACATGTATGCAGCACCCACGCGGGCCCCCAATACTGGAGTTCATTACAGGTGGTTGGGAGTGATCTTTTAGGGGTGCTGGGAACCGAACTAGGGTCCTCTGAAGAGCCGCAAAAGCCCTTCCTGCCCCAGCCTCTTGAGGGTGCAGACCCCGGTCGGGAGACTCCTCTTTCTGAGGGTCAGATGTTGACGGCACAAAAAGTTTGGATTTTTTTTCAAGGCATGATGTGGTGTGTGTGTCCGTTTGGAGGTCAGGACAGCTTGCCATTCCATTCTCTTTCCACCTCATGAGTCTGAGGATCAAACTCGGGTTCTCAGGGTTGGCAGTAAGCGCCTTCCACTGCTTAGCCATCTGGTGTCCCCCTGGACTTGCTTAAGTCAGTAAAGGGACCTGATCCAGCCTCCAAAGATGACAAGGCCAGCCTGGGCCACTTGGCAAGATCTATCTTAAACAGTAAATGCGGTTGGTGACTGCCACGTCCTGGGTTCCCCAACAGCACCAGTGGAAATAAAAAAGGCACTGTGTGACTTGTATCCCAAGTCTTAGAGAGTGGCCTGGAATGTGTGGCAACTTCTTGAATTTTTCTCATGTTTGTGGATCATCCCCAGTTGTAATCATGGTAACAGGCATGATTAGAATTACTCTCGCCTCAGGACCTTGAAGGTGACCTGAAATGGAGGTGGTAATCCAAATGTTTACAGAAATATATTTATTTGTACTTTATTTACATTGGTGTTTTGCCTGCTTGTATGTCTGTGTGAGGGTGTCTGTTAACAGGTGATATGCCCAGTTGTGAGCTGCCATGTGGGTGCTGGGAATTGAACTCAGGTCCTCTGTAAGAGCAGCCTTAACCACTGAGCCATCTCTCCAGCTCTGTGCCCCACTTCTAAAGCCCTGTGTGTGTGTGTGTGTGTGTGTGTGTGTGTGTGTGTGTGTGTGTGTGCGCGCGTGCGCTCACACATGTGGGTCTGTGGAGGACGGGGATTGACACTGAGTATTTTTCCTCACTAGCTGCCCACCTCACTTATTTATATAGTGAGACAAGGTTCTCCTGGAACTCGCTCTGTAGACCAGGCTGGCCTCCAACTCAGAGACCCGCCTGCCTCTGCCTCCCGAGTGCTGGCATTAAAGATATGCGCCACTTTTATGGTTTTGAATTTTGAGGCAGGGTCCATGTGCCCCAGGCTGGCCTCACACTTGATATGTAGCCCTGGATGACCTTGAACTTTGTCCTCCTGCCTTTTTTTTTAATGATGGGGATGGAGCAGGGGCACTGTGCACACTGGGTGAGTGCTCTACCCACTTGGCCACAGTCTCTGGTTTTGTTTTTACTTGTGAGAAGCATGGTTCCGTTATAGTCTCTATTTGGGCCTCAGACATGGAAACCTGCTTCAGCTTCCTAAGCCCAGTGGGAACAGCCGGCCATCCCCTCACCCGGCCCATCTTCGTGGAAACGCCCTCCTGGTGGGCAGTCCTCTCTCTTCCTTTCCCACCCATCTTAAGGGCCCTCGTTGCTGTCCTGTGAAGGCTCGGGTGTTTGGTGGCGGGCGCATGCCAGCCCACCGGTACTTCACGTGGCCCTGAGTTAGAGCACATTGTCATGGGACCCAGAGCACGGTGACCCCGCTGCCCGGTACCATCAGTGTTGAACAAGTGTTGTTGGGCTGTGAAGTCAGTGCTCTGCCTGGCAACAGCACCTGTCCTTGGGCAGGTTCCCTCCTGGTCATCCCAGTGCCGCCTGCCAACCCCACCTCTACGCCTGCCTTTGTCAGTGAGGCCTGATGCGGGCAGGAACGGCCGCCATTGAACCTCGGCCACACCCAGTCCTGAATGACTTGCTGCTGTGGCTGTGTGGCAGCCACATGGCATGGAGAACAGGGACAACAGAAAGACAGACTTCTGGAAACCCTCGGGCTTGGCCTCACAGATCTTGAAAGGGTGGAGCCGACCAGAGCCTTTGCCTGCATTTCTAGGCCTGCATTTGCTAAAGCAGTGGGACCTCCCAGCAGTAGAGCCCCGCCTAGAGTCCCTCAGTGAGGGGAGGGCTGAGGTGGGGGGAGCCCTGCTAAGGTGTTCCCCTGGGTCGAGAAGGGCTCTGTGCCTGGCTGCACTTGCCCTGCTCTTGACATAGTTGCTGGGCAGGCTCCTCTGGGTAGAGGCTCAGTGCTTCCCACAAGCCCCTGGCCTCTTGCTTATGCCGCTGCTGAGATCAATTGTCCCGCTCTTTCCTGCAGCCTGTGCCGGGGATATTGTGGACGCAGTGTCCCCGTGCTCCGTGGTGAACCATCTGCGCTGGGATCTGAGTGCTCAGCAGATCCAGACCCTGACCAAGGAGCTCATCGAACAGACCAAGTGTGTGTACGACCGTGTGGGCGCCCAGGACTTCCAGGACGTGTCCTATGAGAGCACTCTGAAGGCGCTGGCCGATGTGGAGGTGACCTACACGGGTGAGCTCTCTGGGTCCCTCGTGTTTGCACAGGCCACTGACAGGTGGGAGCCGGGAGGGTGGCCTGCCACTCAGGGCAGGCGTGGCAGGTGGACCTGCTTGCCCAGCTGGGCAGATAGAAGCACCCAGACACCTTCTACCGCCTGCCATTGTGTGACTGTTTCCCTGAAGCATGGGCCTAAAGAGCCCGGAAAGCAAGTTCCTTGTGGCTTCTGTGAACCAGGTGTCGGCTCCTACCTGACCTGCCAAACATGCCTTGTCCAAGTTTGTTTTCCTTCTTCTAAAGATTTCTTTATTTTTGGACCAGGCTTTGTGGCACATACCCTTTAATTCTAGCACCTGGGAGACAGATTCAGGTGGATCTCTGTGAGTTTAGGGCTAGCCTGGTCTACACAATGAATTCTGAGATAGTCTGGTCTATGTTGTGTGAGTTCTGAGCCTGGCCTACATAGCAAGACCCTGTCTTATAAACAGAAGAAAAGAAAATACAAGCAACAAAAATATTTTGTGTGTTTGTATGTTGCCTGTGTGTGTGTGTGGTGTGTGTGTGTGTGTGTGTGTGTGTGTGTGTGTGTGTGTGTGTGTGTGTGTGTGTAGTACCCACTGAGGCCAGAGGGGGTGTCAGGTGTCAGGTACTATGGAGCTGGAGTCCTGTGTCCTCTGCAGGGACAGCCGGTGTGCTAAGCAGTGAGCCATCTCCTTGGTTCTTTTGTTTTCTGAAACAAGGTTGGACTGTGTAGCCCAAGCTGTCCCCCTGCCTCAGCCCCCTGCATGCTGTGATGGCGGATGTGTGTCAGTGTTCGTGTGCATCCACGGCGGCCTGAACACAGCTTGCGTGTTTCTTCCCACCGTGTGGGTCACGCTCGGGTTGTCAGGACTTGGTGACAGATACGGTTTCTCACTCAGCCAGCTCACTGTCCCTCCTTTTGTTCTCAGTCAACCCTGTGTCTGCCAGAGTTGTAGTCCTGGTTGTCCTCCCGCCTCAGCGTCTCAGCACCCCCACGCTCTCAGCAGGGCGTCTGCTTTCTGTTTCCACAGCAGCACTCTTGACTGGGAGTTCGCGGTCGCCCGCATGTAGCTCTTCTTGTCTCAGCCTCGGTGCCGTCAGACGTCCCTCTCAGGGCTGAGCTGCGGCCATCGGTACCAACTTTTCATACCCTGGTGTCACGCCGCCTCTGGTCTGCGTCTCCAACGTGATGCCAGGTGTTCCTGTTGCCACCTAGCATGGCAGCTTCTCTCAGACCCAAGGCCCAGTCTGCCCAGTGTGAGGCCACCGTGTCCCAGGCCCCTTTCTGGAAATGGGTAGGAAAGGCACGTCCAGGCTGCTGAGCCTCTCTGCCTTGGGGCCAGCATAACCCTTCTGCCTGAATCCCCAGTGTGACTCCCCGGCTGCCTGTGGCCTTACATGCCCCTCAGATGCGGTTGACTTCAGCCTCAGTTTCCGCTCATGCATCAAGCAGTGTCCTCTGCCTCTGGCCTCAGGTGGAAATCTTGCCTGGTGGTGTCCCTTCCCTTAGCCTGGCGTTGCTGTATCAGGTTCCTTTGCTGTCCCTGCCAGCCTCTCCCGCAGCTCCTCTACCTGGTGTAGTGACTCACACCTGTAATGCCATCACTCCGTGTGCTGAGGGAGGATTGCCACAAGTTCAGGCCTCACTTGACTGTATAGCAAGACCTTGTTGCAAAACAGGAAGAACAAAAAGAGAAATGGTGCCGGGTGGTGGTGGCGCACGCCTTTAAGCCCAGCACTCGGGAGGCAGAGGCAGGCAGATCTCTGTGAGTTCGAGGCTGGGCTGGACCGACAGCCTCCAAAACAATACAGAGAAACCCTGTCTCGTAAAACAGAGAGAGAGAAAGGGAGAGGGAGAGGAAGGGAGAGAGAGAAAGAAAAAACGATGGTGGGGGTTTCTGCCTCACCTGGTCCCATACAGACAAAAGGACACTACAATAACTATGAAACTATTGGCCGATGGCTAGGGCTTCTTATTGACTAGCTCTGTCTTAATTATTAACCCATTTCTGTCCATCTAAGTACGTCCACATGGTCTTATCTTACCGAGAAGAGGGTTGCGGCCTGTTACTCCTTCTCCCGCTGCCTGGCATCTCCTCACGCCCCTCTCTGCCTTCCTCTCCCAGCATTCTTCTCGCCTCCCAGCCCTGCCTATCTTCCTGCCTCTTATTGGCCAAACAGTGTTTATGCAGCAGCCAGTAGGTGAAACGAAGCATGCACAGAGAAGCAAGTCGGTCTGGGCTGGCCCTCACAGCTCCTCGGTTCACCCCCACGACCTCTGCATGGGGTCGTGCCCTTTGCACTCCCCTCTCCTGAAGGCCTCCTGGTCCTCCGGGCCCTGCCCACCCTGCTGCACACTGTGCCTGCCGGGGCTCAGATGTGGCTAGGACTCTATGGCCTAAACATCCAGGGCCAGGACCGCTCACACCGAGCCTCCTCAGCTGTGGTGCCTCCCTGTTCCCATCCTGCTCCACATGCCCACTTTCTGTCTCTGGATGGTTCTTGTCGCCGAGACCCCTGCCCTGTGACTTTTGAGTCTGGGTCTGTGGCTTGTGCTGTGGTGTGTGTATGTCTGTGTGTCTGTGTGGGGTGTGTGTGTCGGGCTCACTCCTGTTCAGGGCTGCGTGATACTCCAGCGTGTGAGCCTGAACTCAGGGCCCCACCTTTGGCTGTTGTGGGTTCTGCTGTGACACATGCTCAGCATTTGATAGTGACCTGTGCCCTTGTTCCTCTTGGCTTCATGCCTAGGGGGTGGACTGGGTCACAGGACACGTGTAGTAACGGTTAAGTTTCTGTGACCCTGCACTGTCTCACTCTGTAGCTAAAGCTAGCCCCAAATGCAGGCATGCTCCTTCTGCCTCAACCTCTGTGGTGCTGGAATGGCAGCCACAAGCGCCACTCCCGTGAGCGAGTCAGCAATGAAGCCATTCTCCCGTTAGCATGCCTGAATGTGTCTGATTTACTGTCTTGAGTCTCTGCTGTGGCGTCCCCAAGGCTAAGAGTGACAGCACTCCCCCTCTGTCTAAGTGCCTGAGCCAGGCTGGGTGCGGAGGCGTCTCCGCAGAGGGAGCTGACGGCCTGATCCTCGCCTTGTCCCATATCTCACCCTCAGTACAGAGGAACATTCTGGACTTCCCTCAGCACGTGTCCCCATCCAAGGATATCCGCACAGCAAGCACAGAGGCTGACAAGAAGCTCTCGGAGTTTGATGTGGAGATGAGCATGAGGCAGGACGTGTACCAGAGGGTCGTGTGGCTGCAGGTGCGTGTTGGGGGCAGCAGGCACAGCGGTGTTGGCTCTGTGCTGCACGTGGCCTGCTGCATGGCTGATGGGCGTGATACCACCACCCACCGTGGCCTGTGCACGTGAGCCACGTGGTGGGGTATGCAGCTGGAACCGCTGGTGGCCTGTCGGGAGCAGGCGCTGGCGGTGTGAACCGTACAGTCGCAGTGTGCTGAGGCCTGCACTGTGGTCAGGGTGTTGTTAAAGTACCTGTAGTTGTAGCTATGTAAGATGGGATGCAGGTCTGAGCATGTGCCCCAGGCTGTTGTCACGGCACATGGCAGACCAGCCAGGGCATCGTGGGATATGCCTCTCATCCGAGCACTTAGTGGGAAGAGACGGAAGACTGAAGTTTAATACTATCCTTCATTCCAAGCCAGCCTGGGCTGCATGAGACCCTGCTGAATGAATAAAGAGAGCTGAGGTTCTCAGTGGGAAAGCCCCTCCTAGAATCCCCCAGTGAGGGGCTGGGGGCGTGGTCAGAATGGAGCTCTGTCTAGAATCCCCAATGAGGGACTGGGGCGTGGCTGGAGGCAGACTCCTACTCTCCTGGGTTACATCCTGCCACCAAAGGGAAAAAAGGCAAGTGCTGGCGTGGGGTCCCCTCCAGCCTCGTTGGCCCTGCTCACTGTGGAGACTGGTGTGTTTGTACACCCAGGAGCACATGGCCTGCCTGAGGCAGCCTGCGGTTGAGATTGGGGATTCCGATGTGTTGATGGACAGGGATATTTCTCTGTAGCCTTTGCGGACTGGGAACCAGGGTCCTCCATCTCTGTTCCCAAGAGCCAGGGTCTCTAGGTGGCTCTGTGCCTGGCTGTGTAATCAGGTGTTAGCATTTCTTTTCTTACTGGGATGGCCCCAGGAAGCCTCTCTCTCCCCCACCTTTTGTGTGCCAGGGATTCAGCTTGGCTTTGGCTACAATCACCTTTACCCTCAGAGCCGTCTGTCTCATGATCGGATCGTGGGGTTTTTAGTCGTTTTTATTACATGTATGTCTTTTCTTTCTGTGTGGGTGTGTTCATATGTGCTGCTGTCCATGGAGGCCAGAAGCGAGCGCTGTGTCCGGGAGCTGGGATCATGGGTTATGAGCTGCCATGAGGGTGCCCCTGCTCTGTGAGAGCCACAGAAGGGGACACAGTTCCCTGAGCTGTTGCCCAGTGTTTGATGTGAGCTTTTGATGGCTTTTTCCAGGAGAAAGTCCCAAAGGATTCCCTGCGGCCGGAGGCAGCTCGATACCTGGAGCGGCTGATCAAGCTAGGCCGGAGGAATGGACTCCACCTACCTCAGGACACGCAAGAAGTAGGTGTGCCCTGGCCCGAATGGGTTCCAGTTAAGGCCTGACGACTTTGTCCCCGTCCTCTGCCCGGGGCCTGAGCTAGGGAAGCAGAGCCACTAGCCAGAGTATGCTGCAGCTGCCCATGCTTCCTCACCTCAGCCCGCCCGCCCGCAGGGTGGGTCTCCATGCGGGTCTCCATGCGTGCTTCCTCACCTCAGCCCGCCCGCAGGGTGGGTCTCCATGCGTACCTCATGGGCTGGCTTAACGATCTGGTGTGCACAGAAGAGATGGGTGTCATGCTAAGGCCATGCCTGCATCAGGCAAGGCAGAGACCACAGCTGACTCTGGAGGGATGGGGCGGAGACACTGCACAAACAAAAGGAAGTGAGGGTGAGGACCCTGCAAGGAGTGTGCCTTGAAAGGGTTAGGCACGCCCCTGGGTGGGCCCTAGACCTTTACGTAGTGGAGATGCCATCCTGCTAAGGTGCTGACAGCCAGCAGAGGCGACAGGGATGTTCCCTGTGAGTCCTAGCTCCTCTGTGACCCTCCATAGAGTCACCGTGACCACTGAAGGCCCACATGCCCACTCGTGTAGGTTGGGCAAGGGCAGAGAGGTCACCCTGCTTGGAACGGGGTCCTAGTGTTCCCTGCCTGCCGTTTGCGCCCATGCCTGGTCCCTATCCCAGGGAGCACTCATTGGCCAGGTGGCTTTGAGGAGAAGGAAGTGCATGCCGTCCCCGGGCTTGTGCAGACCCCACAGAGGCCTCCGCAGCCCTGACAGCTGTGCTGTGGTTCTTAGAGCCGTGTTGCTGTAAGAGGCTGACTTCAGGGCAGCCAGAGAGGGCCCCTGCCCTGGCCTGTCACAGCCTGCAGCCTTGATTGTTGCCCTGTCCTTTGATGGGGCATGGCTGAGCTGATGGCTACTCAGACCCTAGACCCTGTAGCAGACAGAGATGGAAGCCCGTCTGTGTCACCATGGCCAGACTGAGGATCTTTCCCGGAGGAGAGGACGCGAGTCTAGAGGTGCCCGGGATGCGGCGAGAAATAAAAGACCCAGAGACTGACACTGGGGTTCAAGTTTCTTTTCTTCTTTTTTTCTTTTTTAAATACTGGATAAGAGCAACCTAAGGAAGGGAAGGTTTATTTTATGTACACAGTCTTCTATCTGCATGTGTTCTGTAGGCCAGCAGAGGGCACCAGACCTCATTCAAGGTGCTTGTAAACCACCATGTGGCTGCTGAGAATTGAACTCAGGACCTCTGGAAGGGCAGCCAGTGCTCTTAACCGCTGAGCCATCTCCAGGCCCAGGGTTCGAGTTTCAAGCTGAAAATCCGCTCTCACCTCTCGCTCAGACTGACAGGGCTGACCTCACAAGCCCTTCATCAGGTCTCACACTGCTGCCTCTCCTCAGTGTGGCTGGAGAACAAAACCTCTCTGAGTCCTTGGGTCTGTCTTATGTATTCCCTAATGTTGGGATTAAAGGTGTGAGCTGTAATTCCCCTTTAGACCGATTCACTCTTGTGTAGATCTGAGTGGTCTTGGACTCACAGAGATCATCTATCGCTTGGTCCTGAGTCGTAGGATTAAAGGTGTATACCACACTTCCTAGCTTCTGGCTGCTGGGATTTAAGGTGTGTGCCTGGCTTCTACAGACTGTGGCTGACTTTGCTTTCTGAATCCTCAGTAAATCATAAACAATATCTCACCACGGCAGACGGCATAGCAGCCGCCAGCTCCTCCATCCTTTACTGGGTATTCTTGGGAGGGGCAGCCTGGAGGGACAGCAGAGGCCAGCGTCGTGTCGTTACACACATGCACACACACACGCACACACTCTGCAGTGACAGCGCTGCTGTCCCCACACCGCTGTCTCTGCAGAAGATCAAGGAGATAAAGAAGAAGCTGAGCCTGCTGTGCATTGACTTCAACAAGAACCTGAACGAGGACACCACCTTCCTGCCCTTCACACGAGAGGAGCTGGGTGAGTGCGCCACCACAGCGTGGCATCCTCTCAGCTGGCCAAGGGCACTGCACCCCTTCCTCGGGAAGCGAGAGCTGGGCTCTGCTGGCCAAGTCCCACCCAGAGGCCTGAGCCGGGGCAGTTGGCCCCCGTAGCCTGGCGCTGTCGTTTGCCCAGGACCCCACAGACACCCCGCTACACAGCGTGGCTTTCAGCCCAGGATAAGAGGCAGTGAAGTTTTGCGCAGACCTGAGACCTTGGAGGGTTAGCACTGTGGGGCTTCCCCTGTAGCTGTGATGCCACCGGCTCTCGGGTGCCTCGTGTTGCCTTTGGGTCCGAGGCTTCCTGGCCGCTCCCCAGCATCTCACATGCTTGGGGAGGTGGCCCATCGCTGCCCACCACTCTTCAGCCTGTACCGTACCCACTGGCCAGCTGGGGGCTCCCTAGGGGTCCTGGGGCCAGGGTTGCTGGCCTTGCTTCAAGGCTCCATCCACCACACCCACAGGTGGGCTCCCTGAAGACTTCCTGAACTCGCTGGAGAAGACGGCGGACGGCAAGCTGAAGGTCACCCTCAAGTACCCACATTACTTCCCGCTGATGAAGAAGTGCCATGTCCCCGAGACGCGGCGTCTAGTAGAGGAGGCCTTCAACTGCCGCTGCAAGGAGGTGGGGACAGCCACAGCCGTCTCTCCCGGGCACCCGCTGTCCACTGTCCCTCTGCAGCTGTCCGCTGTGTCCCTGTGCCGGTGCCCGCTGTCACGAGGACACCTGGCGGCCTTTGTATGGGAAGTTGGGTTTAGCTCTTGAGCAGGTGAGGCAGTGAGGCTCTCCAGGAGGTGCCATGCTCTTGGCTTCCTGTTGGCCAAAGGGCTGTATGTGAGGGTCCCGAGTGGCCGTAGACAGCAGGGAATGGAGGTGCCCGCTGTCACATCCCCTGGCTGGAGAGTGGCTACGGTCCGGCCCCACCTCCCTGCAGCTGCAGTTTGTGCTTTGTTAGTGTTTTTTGTTGTTGTTTTTCTTGTTCTTGTTTCTTTGGTTTTCCGAGACAGGGTTTCTCTGTGGCTTTGGAGGCTGTCCTGGAACTCTCTCTGTAGACCAGGCTGGCCCGGAACTCACAGAGATCCACCTGCCTCTGCCTCCCGAGTGCTGGGATTAAAGGCCACTAATGCCTGACTCCTGCAGCATGCCTCAGAATAGGCTGGGACTTAGCGTGCTGTTTGTGAACTTGGGCCTCAGATCCCGGGCCGTGGGCTGGGGAAGGATTGTCATCATCATGTAACCAAATCCTCAGGACTCCTCCCCCCTGACCTCCCAAGGACCCGCATATGTGACTGGTGTGTGTGTGTGTGTCGTCCGTGTGTGCGCCCCCCCCGTGTTGAGTTGCTGTATCACCACACTGCAGGTGCTGTGGGTGGGGTGTCCGGGCCCACGTGAGTGCCGCGGTGAGCTGGGCTGCTCCCGGGCAGTCCTTCGTCTGCTCTGCCTTCCTCCTCCCTGGGCAGCGCTGCTGCATCAGGGCGCGGCCTTCCTTTATGGCGGCCAGATGGAGCCTGCAGCTGTCACCCATTGTCCGTTGTGTCATCTCCGAGGCTGGTCCACTTCTGTGTGACCCGGCTTGTGCCTAACACTAATCCCAGGACACCCATGGTCCTGTCTGAGGGGCATAGAGGTGCAGCCACCGCTGCCTGTGTCCCTGCAGGAGAACTGCGCCATCCTCAAGGAGCTGGTGTCCTTGCGGGCTCAGAAGTCCAGCCTCCTGGGGTTCCCTACACACGCCGACTATGTCCTGGAGATGAACATGGCCAAGACCAGCCAAACAGTAGCCACCTTCCTAGGTACCCGCCCTGCCCCGTCCCGCCCCGGGCGCCTGTCTTTGCCCATCCTTTCAGCCTGGAGGGCCATTCTCCCTAGTCACTCCTGTTGGTCTCGCCCTGGGTGATGGTGTGGCCCTCGTGTCCTACGGGCAGTCGGGGTGGCTGCGGGTGACAGTGGCGCCTCCGCAGATGAGCTGGCGCAGAAGCTGAAGCCGCTGGGTGAGCAGGAGCGAGCGCTGATCCTGGAGCTGAAGGAGGCGGAGTGCACCAAGCGGGGCCTGCCCTTCGACGGCCGCATCCACGCCTGGGACATGCGCTACTACATGAACCAGGTGGAGGAGACCCGCTACTGCGTGGACCAGAACCTCCTGAAGGAGTACTTCCCGATGCAGGTGGTCACCCGCGGGCTGCTGGCCATCTACCAGGAGCTGCTGGGGCTGACGTTTGCGCTGGAGGAAGGCGCTGCCGCCTGGCACGAGGATGTGCAGCTGTACTCGGTGCGCGACACCACCTCCGGAGAGGAGATCGGCAAGTTCTACCTCGACCTGTACCCCAGGTGGGCATGGCGTCGGGGTAACTGTCACCTGCCCTATTGCTCTGCTGTCCACAAGGGCACCGAGGGGCAGGAAGCCCAGGGTGGCATGGACTCCGGCTGCGGGGAAGGGCGGCCCCTAACAGGTCCAGAGCCCCGCCGGGTGCCAGCTCTGGATGCCTGGGGGTCTGTTGTTTGTCTCCACGCTGACCTCTCCTCGCTCCCCAGGGAAGGGAAGTATGGCCATGCTGCCTGCTTCGGCCTGCAGCCGGGCTGCCTACGGCAGGATGGTAGCCGGCAGCTGGCCATTGCGGCCATGGTGGCCAACTTCACCAAGCCGACGCCCGACACGCCTTCCTTGCTGCAGCACGATGAGGTGGAGACTTACTTCCATGAGTTCGGCCATGTCATGCACCAGCTGTGCTCACAGGTGTGTGGGGGCCCTGGGCTTCGGGGCGTCACTGGCTCCTCTGCTCTACGTCAGTTGCTTTTATTGAATCTGCCTGTTTTCCTTGTCAGGGGTCTGTGCATACATGTGCCATGCCTTGCATATACAGAGCAGAGAACAGTTGACCCTCACCCACCGTTTGGGTCTTGAACTCATAGCATCAGGCTTGGCAGCAAGCCCCCTTACCCTCCGAGTTGTGCCATTGACCTGTCTCTTCCCTGGTGGCCTGCAGGTCCCCGTCACACTGCCACCCCCTCTTCATAGCCCTCTCGCCCACACCCACGTCCTGAGACGGCTTTGGGAGCCTGGGCTGTTGTGTGCAGTGTGAATGCCCTGGGGGCTGGGGCCGCGCGATCTCAGTGTGAGCCTGGGGCCCCAGAGACGTGGGTGCGCAGCCTCTGACTCAGAGGCCAGTGGCATCCGGTGTGCAGGAGCCCGATGAGCTGACGCCTGCTTAGGCCAGATGGGCGTTGAGGGCGCCAGTGTGCCTAAGGCTTTACCCACTGGTGTCCCGTGTAGGCGGAGTTCGCCATGTTCAGTGGGACCCATGTGGAGCGAGACTTCGTGGAGGCGCCGTCACAGATGCTGGAGAACTGGGTGTGGGAGAAGGAGCCACTGGTTCGCATGTCTCAGCACTACCGAACAGGCAACGCAGCCCCTCAGGACTTGCTGGAGAAGCTTATCAAGTCACGCCAGGCCAACGCAGGTGAGGCCGCACCAGCCTTGGCCATAGGTACTTAGCCAGATATGAACCTTAGTGGCACTTCCTGCTAGCTGACCTCTGACCTCCCCCCAAGGTCTCTTCAACCTTCGGCAGATCGTCCTAGCCAAGGTGGACCAGGCCTTGCACACACAGACGGGCGCAGACCCGGCTGAGGAGTACTCCCGGCTCTGCCAGGAGATCCTTGGGGTGCCAGCCACACCAGGTAACTGCTCAGAGGCTTGGCTGGCACTGCGGGGGGCCCCATGTCCCCCAGCTCCCAGAGAGCCACAGCATGGGGAGCCCTGAGAAACCACGCCCTCCCCACACCCCCCCAGGCCTTAGCCCATGTTTGCGCTACCTCGCCGGCCTGCAGGGCCCATCCTGTCCCCACCCAGTGTGCCCCTCCCCAGGGTGGCCACTGCAGCTGCACCGCCATGTGTCTGTCCAGGGACCAACATGCCCGCCACCTTTGGCCACCTGGCTGGCGGCTATGACGCACAGTACTATGGCTACCTGTGGAGCGAGGTGTACTCCATGGACATGTTCCACACACGCTTCAAACAAGAAGGCGTGCTGAGCCCCAAGGTGAGTCAAACAGCTATGGCAGAGGCCAAGGATAGCTCCCAGGCTGCGAGGCTCCTGGCTGCGGCTTGGGTGGGGCCCATGCACGCCCTAAGACGCTGACCCGAGGTCTGCAGAGCCCCCCTCGGTGTATGGAACCCCGGCTGCCAGCCCCATCCCCCTTTGCCCCCAGGTTGGCATGGATTACCGGACCACCATCCTGAGGCCGGGGGGCTCTGAAGATGCCAGCACCATGCTGAAGCAGTTCCTGGGTCGTGACCCCAAGCAGGATGCCTTCCTCCTGAGCAAGGGCCTGCAGGTAGAGGGCAGTGAGGCGCCCGCCTGCTGACCGCAAGCCTCCCTGCCGCCTGTGCCTTAGCCTAGCCCAGGCTGGGCAGCCTCGAAGGCCCTGGGGCCTGTGACGAGATTGGCAGTGTTCCATCCTATCGTGCCCGGCCCCAGGTCCCCTGGGCTCAGGCCGCCCTGGTGGCCTCCCTGCACTAGCCCCTCCCCAGCACCTGGTGTTGGCCATGGTCTCTGTGATGTCACCATTAAACTTCACACGGCCCCTGCCTGCTCCTTTTCGCCTGCCACAGGCTCCCCCCCCGTGCTCTAGGCTGTGACGTTCTTAGGTCACATGACACTCCAGCTGTTGGAGGGTGCTAAGGCCAGCTGGCCAGTGTGTCACTCAGGGTCATTGTGTCTATTCTAAACCACCGGTTTTTAGGGGCAGGTTGAGGGGTTCTGCCCCCTGCTGGCTGTGTATGGCATTGCAACCTCTAGCCGCCATTAAGTTTGCATTTAAAGGAAGACTTGGCCTCATGTAGCACCCAGGCTGGCATCCTCCAGCCGCCCTGAACAGCAGACGGTGTGAATACACAATGGAAAGCTAGTAGGTGTAACTGGAGGGTCTCGTCCTGCCAGTTCCCACCGCCCTCAGCCCCAAATAAGCACACAGGCGCAACGCTAATTATAGACCTGTTGGCCAATGGCTGGGGCTTCTCTCTTTTTTTTTTTTTTTTTTTTTTTTTTTTTTTGGTTTTTTGAGACAGGGTTTCTCTGTAGTTTTGGAGGCTGTCCTGGAACTCGCTTTGTAGACCAGGCTGGCCACGAACTCACAGAGATCTGCCTGCCTCTGCCTCCCAAGTGCTGGGATTAAAGGCGTGCGCCACCAACGCCCGGCTGGCTGGGGCTTCTTATTGGCCAGCTCTGTCTTAGTTTCTAACCCATAATGACTAATCTATGTGTTTCTACATGGTCTTATCTTACTGGAGAAGGGTCCAGACCTGTTACTCCTGCCTCTGCTACGTGGTGTCCCCTTGCGGCACCTCTCTCTGCCTACCTTTCCCAGAATTCCTCGTCTGCTAGTCCTGCCTGTCTTCCTGCCTCTATTGGGCAGACTGTTTTATTCATCAGCCAATAAGAAACATATATACCAAAGGACACTCCCCATCAAGTAGACAAAGGCAGCCAGTGAGATCAACCCTGGTCCCAATTCACACAAGGTCGCAGACTAACCCTGGGTCTCTTGTCTGAAAGACTTAGAGCTGTCACAATACAGATGTCACGCTGCTGTCTAGGAGGTCACCACGGAGGCAGGGGCGTGGGCAGTTCCAGGCCAGTGTGGTTTGTGTGGGCTCAGTAACCCTTTCCACGAAGGTTTGCTGGCCTGAGTTAGTCCCCACAGCGTTTGGACTCTTGTGCAGGAAGCCCTTATGTGTGCACAGGTGTGTGGGCCGGGGGGTGGGGGATGCCTGAGGCTCCCTGATCAGCCAGTCTGTCTCAGGAGACAGATCCAGAGCTGGAGGGGTTGTCGAGTGGTTAGAGTCCTGGCTGCTCTGAGGGGACCCCAGTTAGATTTCCAGCAGAATACGGAATATGTCTCCACAGAGGGGGGTGGGGCCAGTGTTCTCTTAGCCACTGAGTCAGCTCTCGTCCCCATGGATCAATGTTCTCATACAGGCACATAGGACCGGGCACTGGGCATATGGGTAAGTGGTTTCAGATAACAGATTTTCCAAAAAGGGAACCAGCATAAGGGATACCAGCACTCTGGGCACAGGGACCTCAGTTCTAGCCAGGCATGGCTAGAGAGATCTCATCTCAAAACAAAAAGAGAACTATGTGTGTTGTGTCCCCTCTGTCCCTCCCTGACTTACTCCCTTCACCGAGCGTCTCCGGCTTTACCTGAAACTTGACCTCAGGATCCACCTGTGTCACACACAGCTATAGTCAGCCACGCCCCTCTTCTGCTCCCTTGGCTGGGATTCAAACTCCGGTCCTGATGTTTGCCAGGTGACCATCCCCACCCACTGAGCCCAAGTCTGCCTTTTGTTTCTGTGCATTTGAGACAGCGTTTCTCTGTGTAACAGCCTTTGTTGTCCCAGAACTCGCTCTGTAGACCGTAGACCAGGCTATCCTTGAAGTCACAGAGATCCTCCTGCCTCTGCCTCCTGAGTGCTCAGATTAAAGGGGTGTGTCACCATGACAACTCAAGATTTATTTTCACCTTCCATTTGTCTCGTCATCTGCAATGGCTGCCACCCCCCTGGCTGTTATGCATAGTGCACAAGGCCAGACGTCATCCGTTCCCTCTAACCCTGAGCTAGCCCATTCTATCCCGCTAACCCTGGGCTGGCCCAGTTTCCTCACCATAGAATCAACAGTGGGCAACCAAATCCCTGAGGTAGATGTCCAGCCTTGGGCTGATGCTCTGCCGAGTCCTCCTGCCTCCCTGCCCCTCTCCAAGGTGCTGAACAGTCAAGGCTCATCCCAGGCTGTCTGCTAGAGCCCCAACCTCTGAGTTAACATACACCCTGCCACTTATACTCTCAAATATTGTGTGTGTAGACAGGGTCTAATGTAGCTCAGGGTGGCCCCAAAGATGACTTTGAACTCTTGTTTTTGGAAACTTCTCACTCTGTAGCCCAGGCTGGCCTCCAACTCAGAGATTCACCTGCCAGTGCCCCCCAACTGCTGGGATAGCAGGTGACCCATTGAGCCAAAGTCCCAGTATTGTCAAAATACTTTATTGACAGTCACATAGTCTTAGAAATGGGTGTTTAGCTGGATGGTGGTGGCGCAGCCTTTAACCCCAGCACTTGGGAGGCATAGGCAGGAGGATCTGTATGAGGTCGAGGCCAGCCTGGTCTTCAGAGTGAGACCCTGTCTCTGAAAGAAAATAGGGAGATGGACATCTGTGGGTTGGGCCTACTCTCAAGTCCCCGGTGTTGGGGAGCCCAGGTCCCAGAGGGGACAGGGAGGGATCTGTGAGTTGGGGGTCCTAGCTCAGGTGTGTCTTGTCTTGCCCTATGCCGGGGTCTGTGGTTGGGCCTGGTGGTCCTGCCCCACTTGATAAGCGGGGATCAGTTTACGGGGGAGGTGCTGTGAGCCCTAGGGTTGTCTCAAGTCTGGACCTGCTACTGCTGGTCACAGCACCTCCAGAGCGCCCTGCACCAGACGGACCCGGAGCCACCCTGGGACCCAGGACAGCCACCTCTCCATCCCTGGCATCTCCAGCCCCACACGACCTGGGCTGAGCAGTGATTCCAAAGCCACCCAATCCAGCAGGGTGGCCTGGCGCAGGCCCTCCCCCACGGTGGTGTTGTCCAGCTCTTCTGTCGAGTCACTAAGCATCGGTGTTTCTATAAAATTCCCCCAGTCTGCGCCGAGGCTGCCGGAAGAAGAACCTTTGTGGGGAGCACCAACGTCTGCCCAGGGTCCTGGGACCTCGGAGCCTGGGGCGATGTCGGGAGCCACGCGGGATGCAGCGTGATTGTGGAGGGTTCTGGAAAACACTGTAGAGAATTGTGCAGTCAAAGGAGGCCGTGGGGGCACAGTCCTGGCCTTCGTTCCCCGGTCCCAGCTTCGGGGTCGCCCCTGCTCTGGGCTGGCAGGGTTCAGTGGGGACTGTCCTGGCTTGTGACACACAGTACGCACTATCATGATTGCATTCTTCCACTTTGTGGACCTGGGAATCGAACTTGGGTTGTCAGCTTGGCAGCAAGTATCTGTCCCCAAGTCCCCTGACATGGGCTTTTGGTGTGTGTATCAGGGGTCTCATGTAGCCCAGGCTGCCCTGGGTGATCTAGAATAACTCTAAACCGACCCTCCTGTCTCCACCTCCCAAATGGCAGGCCTGCACCACCGACACCTGATTTCTATGGCGCGTGGGGGGGGAGCCAGGGCTGTCACATGCCAGGCTTTGTCTGCCCTCACCCTGGGGTCAGGAGGCTGGGACCGCTTACCTCGCACGGGCACGAAGTCTCCAGGGCCGTCGACCTTGTTGGAGTCGAAAGGGCTGATGGAGGGGAGGATGATCAGGACGAAGGACAGTAGAAGGACCTGCCAGACACGGGCGGGGTCACCCCATCCTTCCCCCTCCCCTGTGAGCACACCTGGGCGCACAGGCAGGGAGGCTGAGGTCTCGCTATCAGTGGGTGCATGAGGCTTTATTTTATTTAGATGGGTGTTTGGTGTATCGAGACAGTGCCTTGCTGACCTGTGACCCCTGCCTTTGTTTCCTGAGGGTTATCAACAAGCCTGTCCCCCATGCCAGGCTCCAAGCCTGTCCCCCATGCCAGGCTCCAAGACTCCGCTACTAAAGACACATACGTCCCCCAATGCCCACTTGGCTGAAGCAAAGCAACCCGCCATCATGGGGACGCCGCAGACGCCTGCGTCTGCACTCACCGCTATGCAGGTGCCCGCGTGGGCAGACTTGCTGGTTGACTGGACCACGAGAGCCTGCAGGTGTCTCAGCTGCTCCAGGAGAGACCTTGCAGGGAGAGGACACCCGCTGAGTCCTGGGGTCCCCTTGCTTACTGACCTTTTCCGGGATCCCCTGGCCTCTTCCCTGCCTCTCTGGCCCTCAGTTCCTCTGATCCTGCCACACAGCAGACTCTGCCCTGTCCCAGGCTTTTGCCCAGGCCTTGCCCTCTGTACCAAGGGCATTGTTTCCACTGTTATGTGTGTAGCTGGTTCTTGCCCACCCCATAGGACTTTGTATATGCCAATTCCTCTCTAGCCAACTCCTACACACCCATCAAAGCCCCGAATACAAAATGCCCTCCTTGGTACACGGAGTCTCCTTTCTTGCTCTCCTACAGTCGCTGTGCCAATGTTTGTCCCTCAAGCCCACATCCCCAGCCCTCACCCCCACACACCCCAGGGGGACCCGCCCCCATCTCAACACACACTCACAGATTTTGCTTTTCTAAATGCAAGACCTTCCTCTGCAGCTCCTGGTTCTGGGCAGTGCAGGCTGACATCCTAGAAAGACAAGGACCCAGTGACGTGAGAACACCACCCACCAGGCCCACAGACACCCCCAGGGACACGGTGACACTGATAACCGCGCATCTGCAACCAGGGACACAGTGACACTGACAACCGTGCATCTGTAACGAGGCCAAGGTGTGTTTGTCACTCCTGTGTTCTGTGGGGGGGGACCCGGAGTGTCTCCTGCAATCTCTCTCCACTTTTTTTTTTTTTTAAGAGACAGGGTTTCTAGCCGGGCATTGGTGGCGCACGCCTTTAATCCCAGCACTTGGGAGGCAGAGGCAGGTGGATCTCTGTGAGTTCAAGACCAGCCTGGACTACCAAGCGAGTTCCAGGACAGCCTCCAAAGCCACAGAGAAACCCTGTCTCGAAAAACCAAAAAAAAAAAAAAGAGACAGGGTTTCTCTGTGTAGCCTGGAACTCACTCTGTAGACCAGGCTGGCCTCGAACTCACAGAGATCTACCTGTCTCTGCCTCCCGAGTGCTGGGACTAAAGGTGTGTGCCACCACGTCCAGATTTTGTTTATATATATCGGAGGGAGGTGTTGGCCTGTGTGTGATAGGGACAGAGACAGAGAGCACCATGTGTGTACAGTGCCCACAGAGGCCAGAAAGGGTCGCTGGATCCCCTGGCACTGAGGTCTCAGCCATGGTGAGTCACCATGGGACACCGAGAATTGAACCAGATCCTCTGCGAGAGCAGTCTAACTGCCGAGCTGTCCCTCCAGCCCATACCCAGGCATTTCTTATTATTCTCTTCATCTCTGTGTGTGCACATTAACGCAAGTGCCCACAGCAGAAGCAGCCGTCGGGTTCCCTGGCCCTGGTGACACAGCAGCTCTGAACAGCCCGATGCTGGAGTCAAACGATCCCTCACGAGAGAGCCACAAGCACGCACCTGCAGCCATGGAATCCCCTGCCTCCGTTTCTCCAGACTCCAGTGCCCGGAAGCTGAAGGCCCGACCTCGGCCCTCACCCGGCTATCCTCCTGCAGCCTGAGGTGCGGCAGATCTGCCAAGGGTGTCCACCCTGCTGTGCTCTCTACCCAGGGACTTCCTGACACTTTCCAGGTCCCCTTGTCACTCACGCAAAGACTGGGTGCCCTGACCCCCCCAGCTGAGGCGGCCCCTCCTTCATCTGCAGACAGCAGAGCCTCCTGCCACCTGTCGCCAAGTCTGATGGACCCAAGTTTGACTCCCGCAACCCCCACAGAGCAGAGCCGATCTCCTCAGGTGCACGGTCGCCTGCCTGTGCCCACACAGAACCAACCAGTCAATCACCAGTCAGTCAGTGCCCAGACGGCCCCTCCTTGGACTCCTGGCTCAGCAGGGAGAAACAGTATGTCCCCAGCTTTGTCAAGCTGTGGGAACTTTGGCCGTCTCCAACTCGGTTTCCCGTGGGAGCGTGCAGCCGTGCACCCGCCTTACCGGTTCTCCAGACCATCGATGTACTCTTTTTTCTTCTTCCTGCTTTCCTGAGCCGACTGTTTGTTCCGGATCTTTCTGCGGATTTTTTTCAGCACTCTCTCCTCATACTGCAGAGTGGATGGAGTAGGGAGCTTTTGTCGACCTCTGCTGACCCCACACCCAACCAGTGATCTGCTTGTTTGCAGGAGACAGGGTCTCGTGTAGCCCAGGCTAGCCCCTAACTTGTAGGTAGTCAAGGATGACCTTGCACTCCTCATGCTCTCCCCTTGCCCTCCTGAGTGCTGGGGCAACAGGCCTGTGGCACCCGCCTGGTCTCTGTGGTACTCTTATGCCTCCCTGGATGCACTCACACTGCAGACCCCACTGAGAAAATGTGGGGGCGCCCTCTTGGCTCTGACCCAGGCCACAGCGCCACCTGGTGGCAATGCCTGGGGCCAGCGCTTCGCCATCAGTGTAAACAGGCAGGAAAAATCATTCGGGAGGTAGAGGCAGGCGGGTCTCTGTGAGCACGTGGACAGCGTGTCTACAGAGCGGCTCCAGGACAGTCAGGGCTACACAGGGTTCCGCCCACGGGGCCGCACACCCCTGTCAGCACTCGGAAGGCGGAGGCGGGCAGACAGGAGTTTGAGAACAGCCTCAGCTGCAGTGAGATGGCCACGCGGTAGACCCACCGCGTACCTTGGTGAGCGGCAGCTGGGTGGGAAGAGTCACCCCCTCTTTAGCCAGCAGCTTCTTCTCATCCTCTGTCAGCACCAGCTCCTGGCAGTGCGCACTCCCAGGTCCCAGCAGCTGGGAGGAGGCCAAGGAATGCTGTTGCTGTGGAAACCAGGGGCGTCCATTAGAGGCGCTGAAACTGACAACTTGAGCAGGACATGGGGAGGGACATAAGCCTGTCGCCTGAACACCCAGGGCGACTGAGACGTGAGGAATGCTAACTCTGGCAAGACCCTGTCCCCACAAAATAAAAACAGGACTGGGGGTGGGGCTCGGGGCTGGGGGTGGGGCTGGGGTGGGATGGATTGATTGATTGGCAGGTGCCGAGGTCTTACATCATCACCACTTAAACGGATACTTTGCTTCCGACAGTCTCTATCCTAACCGTCTCCCAGCAGGAAGCTGGTCCTCCCATAATCACCCATGGCTTCCCCCAGCCCCCTTCTCCTTTACTGAAGAGTGTGCCGGCCCAGGAGAGCAGACACGACACTGCAGGACTGTCTGGGCATCGGTCCCAGGCTGTGCAAGGCCAACATGCGTAGCGTCTGTGTCGACATTCAGGACCCGGGGCAATGGGGTGGGGATCCCTACCAAGTCCCCACCACTGCCAGACAGCAGCAGCTCCTTCACCGTGAGGTTGAATCTGGAAGGGGAGCCAGCTTGCTCCTCCGGGTACAGCATATCTGTGCTCCACAAGTCTGCCAGGTGGGGAAGGACAGAGAAGACATTGGGCCGTCAGTCTCAGAGCCCAGGCCCCAGCAAGTCCCCAATGTTAGCCTCAAAAACTAAGGCCTTTTCTCATATTAAGTCAGGGTTTCTCTGTGCAGCCCTGGCTGTCCTGGAACTCGCTCTGTAGACCAGGCTGGCCTGGAACTCACAGAGATCTGCCTGCCTCTGCCTCCCGAGTGCTGGGATTAAAGATGCATGCCACCAGGAAACAGAATCCTGTTTCTCAGTTTCCCCTCTGCTGTAAGTTGCAACACAAACTCATCTTAGCATGTGGATCTGTGTCATGTGGTTATAGATGCGCAGTGTGTTGTAGGGGACTCAGAGCCAGTACAGCCACGCAGGGGTACAGGCTAGGACAAGGTCTGTGTCATAGCTGGCCTGTCCCTCCTGATGGCCTGCACACAGTAGGCATGCTGTTTAACAGCACAAATATTGCAGCAGTAAACTCTAGCTTCTGAGCAGACTGAGCAGAGCTGTGTGACCTTAGGAAAGTGCCTTCACTTCTCTGGACCTGGATTTTATCAGGAACAAGGGCTTTTTATTGTTAATATTAATTTATGTATATAAACGCTCCCATCTGCATGTATGCCTGCAGGCCAGAAAAGGGCACCAGATCCCATTACAGAGGGTTGTGAGCCACCTTGTGGTTGCTGGGAATTGAACTCAGGACCTCTGGAAGAGCAGCCAGTGCTCTTAACCTGGGAGCCATCTCTCCAGACCAGGAACAAGGACTTAATGGGAGGAATAAGCACCTATCGAATTTCCATAGACAGATCATGGGGCGTAGTCAGGGTGGAGCCCCGCCTAGAATTCCCCAGTGAGGGGTTGGTAGTGTAGTCAGTGGCAGCCCTGTGTCCCTGGATCTCCAGCTTGGGTTCTTCCTAGCTAGGGATGCCCATGGATAGATGTCCCTGAAGTAAATCATTATTGATCTGTGGGGGTGGCCTCTGATAAGCTGTCCTTCAGAGCCTGTGCCTGTGCCAGGGGCTTGGGAATCTCCCATACTTTTATTGAGCACTCCTGTGTTAGCCACACTTGGACAAACCAAGATCCAGGCCACCCTCCGGCCTCCCGCCCCGGTTGCCTGGTGTGTGAGCCACCTGTGGGAGCCTCAGGACTGAGGCTGCTGCCACCCCCATCTGCGAAATGGGCCCTACCCCCGTGTGCCCCCGCCCGCAAGGTGTTCATCTGTCCCAAACTCACCCAGGTCAATGGCCACCGAGGACTCCAGTACTTGTGTCCCTGGAGGCGCAGGGCATGGGGCACTGGGTGGGTAGGAGGGGCAGGGCCCCTTGTCTCGCTGGCTCGGGTGACACCTGGCTGCTGCGGCAGATGCCCCAGGGCTGCTATGAGGAGGGGTGTCCTGGGGATCTGAGGGGAGATCCTCGGAGATACCGCTGTCACTGTCAGCCGGGGACCACAGGGGGGAGCTGGGGTCAGAGTCTCCAGGTCCCAGGATGGAATTGAGGAAGTCATCAGAGTCGGAATGTGGTAGTACCTTCTAGAAGTGGAGTGGAGAGAGTGACACATGCTTATTCAGACTGCTGTGTGAGTCTGGGCAAATCCCCCTGGCCCTCACTATGCCTTCGGGACACAGCCGTCCTTTCTCTGTGAGCATTGAAGATGCGACAGCAGTCAGATTACAAGGAGGGAAAGACGGGGACAGCACCTGAGTTAGAACCTGAACTCAGTTCCAAGCTGGCCGTTCACCCCCACCCCGGTTAGAAGGAGCGTCTAGCCAGCTGCGGTGAGCCGGGCTCGCAGGCTGCCAGGTTCGAGCCAGCAGGCTGTGGGCGTTCCTGCGCCAGCCCGGGCCCCCAGCACTGGCTGGAAGAGTCCACACGGCAACCCTTACCTGCTCCTTCCCAGCGTGGCTCCAGCCTTCCGCCAGCCCCACGTTTCTCAGAATGCCGTCCTGCCGGTCAAACAAGAGGTCTAGGAGCTCCAGGCTGTCCAAGGGACCCATGGAGCAGGCAGGGGACGCCATCTGAAGTGAGGAGAGAGACGTCCTTCATACACAGCACCTGACACTTCTGGGACCCTGGTCCCCCGGGCTGGGTCTCCTCCGTCTGTGGATAGGCCTGGGGTCGCCAGGAGTCTTTAAAAGACCACAGCAGTGGGAGGCTATGATGTGAGTTCTCTGGAGGCTGAGGCAGGAGGATGGCAGGTTCAAGGCCAACCTGGGTTACCTCCAGCCAGACTGAAAACAAAACAAAGTGAAGGAAACAAACGAAATCCGGGCATCCGTGTGGCTAGTGTGCTGAGGCCCGCATTTCAATATAATCTTAAAATGTTACTATAGATGTATGTAGAAACTTCTAGAGATTGGCACCTGGATCAACCCCGTCCTGAAGTCCCACTGCACTCCCTCTCCAGCCATCCCCTCGCGGGTGGGACGGGTCCCGGCCAACAGCTCACACCGCCCATGGCCCCTCACCTTTCCTGCCCCTATGTCCCCATCCATGTCCCGACCTGTGCAGCCCCTTCCCGGGTCCCTGTCGCCGCCTGCTGCTCCCTTTGCCACGTCTCCACCCCCAAAGGATGCTGAAATACGGGCCCGCAGCTCCCTGGCCAGCCCCCGCTGCAACTGGGCGCCAGGGCAGACAGACAGGACCTCGGGCCAATGGCGAACGGCGGCGGGGGAGGGCGGGACGACCGTTATCGCTGTTTTGTGCTTTTCCAAGGAGCAAAGAGCAAAGTCTGGGGTGTCGGGTCTGCCTGACCTCTCCCCTACTTACAGCCACTGCTTCTGTCTAGCCTCACCGGATGTTGGGTCCCCAGCAAAACGCAGGGTTCTTGGGTGGTTCGTGCCTGCTCGCGGGACAGAGTGAAACAGCAGCCCCTTGGGTGTGGAATCTCGTCCCCCTCGCCAGGGTGACAACCCTCACCTACTGAGCGTCCCTCACCATCCCACGTATGTGATCAATCCCTCTAGAATCACCTGGCCTGCATGTATTTAGCCAACAAATATTTATACAAACTGCACGTTCCCGGCCCCGGGCCTTTGCACCGCTGTCCACTGCCCCGTCGCTCTGTCACACGGAGTCTTTCCTCGCCTAGATAGGGCTGCAGCCACTGGGCATCTAAGGATGACCTTGAACTCCTGATCCTCCTCCCTCCTCCTCCTGGGATAGCAGGTGTAGATGACAGTCACCACCCCTGGTTTACGTGGGGCTGGGACACAAGGACCCAGGGCTTTGTGTATGTTAGGTGAACTATCTCGCCATAACAGCCTTCAGAGCCCTGCCCGCCATTTCTGTCCACTTCCTGTTTCCCTTCCACTTCCTGTCTCCCCAGTGCTGCACCCCACCCCAACCCTGCCTGGCCCCAGCCACAGCAGCACCCTCAGTGGCCAGGATGAATTCTGTGGGTCATTTCTAGCAGCGACCGGTGTCCAAAAGAGAGCCGGTATACAGCTGATGCTCAATTGATGCTTGCTCATCGAACACCTCCTGTGTACCAGCCACCGGATTAGGTGTGACCAATCAATCCAAAAGTGGCCTGGTTGGGTGACAACTTGAGAGACAAATGCCACAAAGACAGTGACTCCAGAGTAAGAAGTGAGGACCTCCTGGAGAACTGAATGGGAAGCTGAGTTAGCTCCAGAGAAAGCACTGGAAGGTGCTTCAGGCTGAAGAGATCACCTGTGCAAAGGCCCTGGGGCAGTGTGGAGCTGCAAGATAGAGGGCATTAGGACCCTGATGAGCCGGAGTGGAGGGACAGGAGGGCAAGAAACTGCCCTTAAGAAGACATCTGGAGTCGGATGGTGATGGCGCATGCCTTTGTTCCTGGCACTCGGGAAGCAGACAGGCAGATCTCGGTGAGTTGGAGGCCAGCCTGGTCTACAGAGTGTGGGCCAGGCCGGGCGGTGGTGGCGCAGCCTTTAATCCCAGCACTCTGGAGGCAGAGGCAGGCGGATCTCTGTGAGTTCGAGACCAGGCTGGACCGACAGCCTCGAAAACAATACAGAGAAACCCTGTCTCATAAAAACCAAAAAAAAAAAAAAAAAAAAAGATGGCATGGTGGGGGAGGTGAGCACATGCGCAGTAAGTAAACACACGCCTGATCGCTGGCTGCCCAGGCAAAGGGCGGAAACCCCACAGCGTGAGCTGCAGAGGGCAGGGGAATCCATCTGAGCCAAGGCCTGCAAAAAGACTTGCCGGGGAGAGGGTGCCAGCCAGAGTTAGCCCAGGAACGACGGGAGAGGAGGAAGGGAAGGCCTGGACAGGACACGTGGGGCTTTGAGGGTTGTCGAGGAGCTTAGCATGGGAACTTCAGGAGTGGATGAGGCCCAAGGACAGCATCAGGGTGTGGTTTGCTGGGGCCTGGAGTGAGCAAGGCTAGGATGTCCCACAGAACACAATGTAACAGAGTCGCAGCACTCTGGGTGCCACAGGGCCCTTTCTCACGGTCCCCAGGGGCCTCTCTCTGTGTTTGCTTCCTAGGGCTGAGTTTGCTTTGGCCAGAAAGTGTGATCACGAGTGAATTAGTGAATGCTCTTCAGTCATTTCAGTGATGGCTTCTTGCCACAGAGGCTGCCAAAGGGTGACCACCTGCTGGGGACGCCTGTGTTCCCAGCTCCTGCAAAGCACCAAGCAGGAAGAGTTTAAATGCAAGGGAACGCTGGGCATTGGTGGCACACGCCTTTAATCCCAGCACTCGGGAGGCAGAGGCAGGCGGATCTCTGTGAGTTCGAGGCCAGCCTGGTTTACAGAGTGAGTTCCAGGACAGCCTCCAAAACAATACAGAGAAACCCTGTCTCGAAAAACCAAAAAATTAAAAAAAAAAAATAAATGCAAGGGAACCTAGTGTGCTGGCACACACCTCTAACACCAGCACTAGGGAAGCAGAGGCAGGACGATCTCTGTGAGTTCGAGGCCAGCCTGGTTTACAGAGCGAGTTCCAGGACAGCCAGGGCTACACAGAGAAACCCTGTCTCAAAAACCAAAACCAAACAAACAAAAAGCTAATTAAAAATAAACAAAAGCAAGAAGAGAGCCTGGGGCATAGTGTGACTCAAGATCCTCCCTGCAATCCCCAGTGAGAGGCTGGGGCATGGTCAGGGGTGGAGCCCCACCTAGAATCCCCCAGTGAGGGGCTGGAGGCGTGGTCAGGGATGGAGCCCCGCCTAGAATCCCCCAGTGAGGGGCTGGAGGCGTGGTCAGGGATGGAGCCTTGCCTAGACTATCCCAGTGAGGGGCTAGGAACTCCACCCCTAGCACTGGAAAAGTTAATGCCAGTAATTAATTAATTCGTTATTAACTAGGTCTGTCCTTTGCTGGCTACTTTATGACAAGGCGTGTCTGCAAGAAGCTCATAGCCACCGTCTTGTGATGGTGACGCTCAGGGGCCATCTCTGTCCCTTCCTGGCAGCCTGATCCCTTGGTCCTGGGTGTGTCAGAACAGACTGCACGCGCACGCGCGAGAGACGGAGCACCTGACTCACCCTGGCCCCTGCTGCCAGGCCACACCCAGGTCCATGTTATCGGCCACCTGAGCCTCTCAGGCACCTCTGCTGCTGGGGAGGATGGCGAGTGCAGGCCACCAAGATTCCCCTGCCCTCCCCTCCAGGTTCCTTCCTTGGAACACAGCTAGGTGTGAGTAACCCCCTTGAGATAGCAACAGGGTGTGGCTGGATGGCCACAGGGGACTCTGGTCTCTCTTGAGTGGCTATCACAGCCTGTGTATCAGGCTTCATCGATCCAAGAAAGGTGTGTCCTGTCCCCCACCCAGCCCAGCCCCCACTCCCGCTCTGGGAGCTCAGAGCTCATCTCATGATCCTTCACCAGCTAAGTCATCCCTCTGGCCCATGTGCCAGTCTGGGGACATAGAGGACATAGCCAGGACATTATTCCCCACCTCCCACGACAGTAGATGGCCCCGATACCCCCCAAAAGATTCATGGTAGAGCCAGGTGTAGATCATCAAAACACTCCGGGGTGCAGAATGGAGGACCCATGGGAGGGAGGAAAGTGGGTGAAACCGTGTTCACATCCAGGAACGGCCGTACGAAGGCCTGGGGTCAGAGGGCAACCCAGAGGCGTGTGGGGTTGCAATTCGTGGGGTCAGAGTGCTGGAGAGGACAGGGTGGACAGGTGACCAAGGGTCTGATCCCAGAGAGCACGGAATGAGTTGTGGAGTGTCCCTGCAGGGTCAGTCCCGCAGTGGGGATGGCTTTACAAGGTTCTCCAGGAGCCAGGGTAGGACAGAGCAGGAAGGTTCTAGATGGATGCCCTGGTCCTCCTCTGCTGACAGGATGAAGAAGGTTGCTGGCTTCCACCAGGTCAGCACCACACGGGGCAGCCTCAGGGCCATTTCCCGAGCCACACTTGGCTGGCCCCGCACCAACCCACTGCATCTGTCTAGCCACCATCTCATTAGAAATTGCTTTATGGCTGAGGGGGGCAAAGGTTACAGTGAACCCTGATGCCAGGCCAAAGGGGCTGTGGGGTCCGGATGCCAGACTCTCCATGTCAGCACAGCCCGGAGCATGGGGGACTCTGGCTGCCTTAGCCTTCTGAGTGCGGGGAGGACCCCTGCCCAGATCTTGTTCAACACCAATTTAAAAGGGCATCACTTAGCTGGGTGGTGGTGGTGGTGGCGCACGCCTTTAATCCCAGCACTCGGGAGGCAGAGGCAGGCGGATCTCTGTGAGTTTGAGGACAGCCTGGTCTACGGAGTGAGTTCCAGGACAGCCAGGGCTACACAGGGAAACCCTGTTTCAAACAAACAAAAAAGACATCACTTAATTTTTTTAGAGTTATGTCTGCATACCATGTGCGTTCAGTCCTTGCAGACGCCAGGAAGGGGTGCTTGGTCCCCTGGAGCTGAGTTACAATCGTGAACCACCATGCTGGGAATTGAACCTGGGTCCTCTGAGAGGCCCCACTCTTCCTGCTTCCTTGGTGCTCAGCTTAGAGACCAAGACCTCACCCACCGCAGGCAGGAGCCCTACCAATGCGCCACACTCTTGCCCTGGCCATCCCGTGGTGAATCTGCCAGGGGTATGGAGGCACATGCCCGTCCTCTGAGCACTCAAGAGGTGGAGGCAGGAGGATTGCTGTTAGTTCAATGTCAGTCTGGATAAAAGTGACCTGTGTCTAAATATAAACAACGAATAACAAAGCCAGGCAATGTAGACGGGTGTCTCAGGCCTGGAATCCCAGCACTCAGGAAGTGTAGGGCTTCACTACATAGAGGCTTGGAGTCTAGCCTGGGCTACATATAAATTAAAAGTAGCATTAAAATGAATTAAACCTAGCGCAGTGGCCAACTCTGATCCTGGACAACCTGCACCACATAATGAGGCCCTGCCTTAAAAAAGAGAGAGAGGGAGAGAAGACTTAATTAAACAGTGTAAGAAGATAACCAGCCCATTCTAGTCCTCTCTGTTGTTAACGAGGGAATAAGGACCGGCGCGATGGACGGAGCACAAGCCATGGAGAGCACGTTAATTATAGTGAGACCAAAAGGGGGGGCAGACATGAGGGGAGAGGGAGAGAGGGAGAGAGGGGGAGAGAGAGAGAGAGAGAGAGAGAGAGAGAGAGAGAGAG